CATTCTTTATAGCCTTCAAAGCAGCATATCTACAATCAATAACTGTTCAAAATGGATTAGCTGGATTCCGCGGAGCTGGATTAATACCCTTTGATCCTCAAACTGTGATTTCTAAGCTAGATATCAAATTACGAACACCTACACCTAGCAGATCCTCCTCTGTAGAGCTCGATCCTTGGGTCTCTCAAACACCTCACAACTCGAACGATGCTCTCTCGCAATCAACCTTAGTTAAAAATCGAATTGCACAACATCAAGGAAGCTCTCCTACACCTATATTTGAAACAGTTGCAGCTTTAGCTAAGGGTACAGAGATATTAGCTCATGAGATGACACTTATGAGTGCTGAGATTCGTACTCTTCGAAAGGCAAATGAGGCATTGAGTAAACGTCGTAGAGCTAAAAAGAGTCGAATTCGTCAAGGAAGAGCACTTAGTGTACAAGATGGATGTGATATCATATTGCAAACTGAAGTGGATAATCAGATTCGACGCGACGAGCATCTAAAGAGGGGTAATTCAAATGGGGAACAGTCAACTTTACGTCGCTGTGGCTCTTGTGGTAAAAGTGGTCATAATGTACGAACCTGTCAGGAGGATTTAGAAGACTCTAGTTTATCAGATTCCGAATAGTTTCAATTAATTTTAGATGTTGTGGTTGTTAAATAATAATTTGAAGTGGTTGAATGGTGAAAAAGTGCGCAGGGTCCTGATATGCGCAGGGTCATGATAAACCACGTTACCGAATATAAGATTTTACATGCCTGTAGCCTTAGCGATAGTGTAACGAAAAGGTGTTAGTTCAACGTGACATAGGCTAGTTGGGGTATCAAAGTTGAAAATGAGGCTATTCCAGGTATTTACCCTATATTATACTCGGAAAAGCCTAGTCTATTAATCTAAATCCTTTAGGACTTTATTACAAAAGGATTTTTTGTTCTAACAAAAGTATTAATTGTATAAGCACTATTATCTACCAAATCTAGATTATAATACTCCACTAAAGAAAGAAAACTATAAATTAGCAATATTGAGTTAAAAAAAAGTATTCGATTTAATGATTACGTTTATATAGTAACCTTTGATAATTACGGTTTTGATAATGGATAATGGATAAAACAGAAGAATTAGGATATATAATAATAATAGTTTGATATAACTTGCTACAGGAAACAAAAGACTTTATGTTATTTATTATATTATACATTTGTTTGAAGATTAAATAGAGTTTGAAGAGAAGGGGATACTATCACAGGTTTATTACCTGTTTTTATACCTACCTATACATATCTACATTTATCATATGTCCACTACCCATTTTTAGTTAACTCGGATGAATGCCTTAGGTATCCATCCATTATATAGTTGGTGTCGCTCTGCGCGCCTCCTTCTCTCCTTGTCGAATATCATACATCTTACCTAGTACCCACCAGAACCTGCACCAGGCCCGTGATAGAATCTTCCCAGCCTGAGTTTTGAAAAAAAAAAAATTTGGCAATCTTCAACTAATAATAATCTAATCTAAGAGTCTTTACAACTTGAACCTGTAATTCCTTATCAGAAAGACAAAGGATACTATACATATATACGAATGATGTATTGATTGATTGATTGATTGATTAAAATTAATGTTTAATTGATACAGAGTCTAAGACTACTGGTATCTAGGACGGGTTCCTAATAGATAGGTAGCTATGGGGGGTTGCTTAAGCTTAAGTTTGCTGGCTGGCTGACTAGCTAGCTAGCTAGCATATATATAGCTATTACATGTTACATGGGGCGGGCTTGTCTTGGAGGATCGAGAGGATAGGATAGGATAGGATCTCAATCCTTAAAATTTGGATTGGGGGAACAGAAAATTAATACTGGGCATGCAAGTATAGATTTAAAATATTGTCTTCTTCCTCTAAGACCTTTCCTTTTGCCCCTCGCCCACCCCGCCCGCCCCCCCTCCCCCTACCCTTCGCTGATTAAAGCATCCCACTGATATAATGTTCTTCTTCGATCCAATCTGCTATTCCACCTATCACTCTCTGTAGACTCAGTCGACTTGCACTCGAAGCAACAACCTAACCGAAGTTTATCAAGGCAGACCTAAGTCACCGACAGCCCTCCTAAAGACACTGTCCCAATCTGAGAAAATACCTGTCCAACTGGTGGTATTGATACAGGCCTCATCCTCAAAAGCGCCCGTTCAATATCGTGGAAATGCGCATCGAGTCCCACATCTCTATAGTGCTCAAAATGATCCTTTTCATCACCGCCCCAGAAACCTCTCAGTGTCTCATCACCTCGACGAACACTCCAGAATCGTACAGATACGCCAGAAAAAGTATTCACGTACACCAAATCCACATCCCGATGTACATCAAAAAATTCCTTGCAATAATCCTGAGCCCGGTTCTCGAGGTCCTTGATATTGATATTAATCGTGGACCCAGACTCAGCAGAATTATCGACTTGCGCTTGCTTTTCCTTTCCCTCGTGAAAACTGAAGAGATACCATTTGTGAGTTTTGTCGAGAGATCGCGTAACGAGATCGCATACTTTTGCTTTGTTGGGACCTTTCGTAACCTCATAGGATGGCGGAATTTGAGAATTAGACTTGAAATCGGGTAGTGGAAACCATGTCAGTCTGCAAAGATCTTCAATTAAGATTATCGAATGATGTCCTTTTCCAAATGCATCGATGGAAACTTTTGCGTTTTGATAAGGTTCCTCGACATCCTTGTCGAGAATGTGTCCATGTGGTACCCAAGTAGATGACATGATGAGATGAGGCTTTTGGAGAGATGTGATGTGATATCGTCTGTCTTTGATATGGTTGTGGGAGAATAAATAGAGAGAGAGAAAAAGAGTTCCAAAACTAATTCGAGAAGCTCTAGGTTGGCAAAGAGGTTGCTAGTCAGCTGCAGCTGCCTGCAGCTGAGAAAGTGGGGTTGGCTCGCTGTTTACCCATATGGGCTTGGCCTTGTTCAGTTCCTGTCTCTATTATTGATAAATTTAATCTATAGAAAGAAATATAGAAATCAACTAACTCAATGAGAAAAAAACCCTGAGATAAAAAGAGTCTTTAATAATATATCTTTAGAAATAAAAACAAAAACAAACAATCTAGCGAAAAAGCAAACAGTCATTTTCAATTCTTATAATTAATATTATAACTAGCACTAGTACTAGCGAGTTGACTACGAGGGACTCAAGCAAGTTCTCAAAACAAGCAAAAGCAAAGAAACTAAAGCAAGAAAGACCTTAAGTCTAACAAGGTATAAAGCGCCTTTTCCATGCCGTTCCCATCATATAATTCAGCCGACTCCGACTCCGACTCCGACTCCGACTCCGATTCCGATTCCGATAAATCCATACCCGCTGTCCATCCATCCAGCCAGTAGAAAGATGCCGTAATGAGAAATATCATAGAATCGATATGCGATGTTTTGAATAACGCCTGTTCATTTCATCCCAGCTTCGACTTCGGCTTTCGAATTGATCATAAAGTCATTATGATATAACAAAACAATACTTCGACGTTCCCACTTCAAACAAAATTCATATTCTCATGACCGATCAAAGGATCCACATATGATGGAAATCTCTCTATATCCATATCCACATCCTCATATTCCTCTCCAAGTATCAATCCACCAAAAGCTCTCTTCGTCTCTCGACTCAACATCGAAGTACCGCCCAGCGGTCTCTCGTTTCCCATTCCCAAATTCTCAGTCATGGGTGTTTCAACTGGCGTAGGCTGTGGTGTATTTTCCCTATCAATTCCTATACATGCTTTCCCAGAACTCATCGGTCTACCACCAATCCCACAATTCGCCATAGACATTGACCAATCCTGCATACAATAAGACGCCGACGATTGTCTCTTCGCAGCTCTCGACATATCATTTTTAGCTCCTTCTATAATATCGTGAGACCAGAGTGGTAATAATCTGTAGCCAAGATTCTCCATGATAGACCTTTGAGTGAAATTTATTTGATCACAGCTCCATAATCCCTTGGCCCATTTCTGCGCATAGTATGATGTGGTACCTTGTTGATCATCTATGAATTTTGTCGCGAGGATCAGTGCTGCCAGTATTATTACTTCGGGATGTGTACTATCAATATGTTGTTCTTCGGAAGCTTGTAGACAGGGAAAATCATATTGTTCGAGTAATTGATCTTCCGATGATTCGAGAGGATATGAAAGGCGCCATGATCGTGCGAAGCGGGAGTTAAGAGAATCAAGGATACAAACTGCGAGGGCGAGGATCTCAATCGGAAGATCAGCTCGACTGAGTAGTGCATGTACGAGCTGAGTTGAAGGGTCGGTTAGAGAAGTTGAGGAAGGTATTAGATTTGTAAGATGGATTGCTGGTCCTATAGTATATGATATTAGCCTGAATGTCCTGCAGAAAACCCCGATGGAGCGCATAATTGGGCTGAACGTATTTGGAAGGTTACACACCTAAGAATTCGGAGTCAAGGATCTCATCTGGACTAAAAAGGGATATGGGTGATTGTGCTGCCGTGGTATCGTATGAATGGGATGATAGAGGTGGGGTTGGTAAATTCGAAAGTGGTACATAAGTTTGATCGAAGAAGTCAGAATCAAAAGATTCAATTGATGAAATGGAGGAGGATCTTTTACGTGAAGACATTGAGAGTGGTGGTGTCATTGTTGGATTCATAGTTGAAGAAATATACTAGTATTTTTGATGTAGTTGGAATAAACGAGAGGTTGGTAGGTTGGTAGGTTGGTTGGTTAAGATAGTTTGAAGTGATAGACGTTGGCATGTGTTGAAATCGAAGTTGTGGAATGTATCGAGTAAGTTGTGAGTTGTGAGTTGCGAGTTTTGAGTTGTGAGATATTGTAGAAAGAAGGTATGCGACTTGAGGTTCCTTAAGTATGTATATGAGGGGATGAGGTGATTCCAATTCGTATTTCCACTTCTACTTTGAATGTTCTTTTTTCCCGATTTTCCTCTTCCTTCTCATGCAATGCAGGTTGGGATGACTCTCTTAGGCAATTAATATATCAATTGGCTTGCTGAAATGATTCGATAAGTTGTATTTAAGTCTTGATTGAGTCTTGCCAAGTCAATCTAGATTCCTTTGTAGATATAACGAAACGAGTGAATGAGTTGAAGAACAAGAATAAGAACAAATTAAAGCAAATAACGAAAGAAGTTTGAATTTTGGTATTGTATTTGAATGATGAAACTTACATTGACCAAATGATTAAATAAAAAAACAATAGAAAGGATTACAAGGCCTTCTCTATATACCTTATTCATTATTTATTGCAGGAACGAAAGTTGAATTCGGTATAAGAAATTGTGGATGTAATAGTATTGTTTTTATGGAGAAATATATTTTATAGTAAAAATGTGGTATGGAAATATGGTAATCATATGAATGTATATAAGTAAAGGTGGATCTATGAATTGACTTTTTGGCTTAAATCTGAGACAAATCTAAGCACAAACCCTCTATTTTACTATCTCTTATAACAAGTCTTCATCTGATCCTGATCAATTATATTATTCGGTATTGATTGACTCTCAGGTAATCGGTAGATGGTTATTTTGACTCTCTAGATATTATCGATAATCTCTATCAAGAATGAGAATGAATACTATTACCCCTCCCCCCTTCATTCTCGCCAATTTACACAGCATAAACCTACTTCGCTTCCTTTCTTCTTCTTCTTCTTCTTCTTTCTCTACTTCCACCATAAGGCTCATTCATCATCAAGTCAATCAATCCATCACAAGATCTTTTCCCGCATCCTCGTAACTTCCAATCCATCCATCATATCCATCCATCACACCCAAAATCAATTCAATAATATCTGCACCATGCACATCTGCACAACCCGCATATCCTCAGCTATCCATCCCCCCACCAAACCTCGTACCACTAAACCAGAAATTCCCGTTCCATTTCTCGGGTCCCATCCTTCACCGTCTTCTAACGTTATATGCAATAAGTAACTAGGGTCCTCGTACAAATGAACTTTTTGTAGGCACGTTACGAAGAGTGAGCCAGCCAGCCAGCGAGAGTGTACTGTATGTTTATGTAGTCCCACCAGTACCCGTAGTATACATATTAGCGGCCGTTCCGAATGTCGAGTCGTAGTCGTTACGACATTGTAGTTGTAGATATATGTAAGATCTTACAGTAAGTAGGAACCAACCCTAATCAGTTCAACCAACCACACTTACCAGCTAAACGTCATACCTATCAATCTATCTATTCCTACTCGAGTAATAACAACACCATGCAATAAACCTAACCTAACCTAAACTAAACCAAAGATCATCAGCCAGCAATGAGGAGAACCCTGAATATCATATTCATATCAAAAAACCCCAACCCCTTGTTCATCAAATACGACATTATACATTATAAAACTGCACAGCCACTCCATCACCATCACCATCACCATCACTCTAAGCCTGAAATAATGGGGTTTGCAATATTTGAAAGTTTGAATGCATGAATACAACTGAATATAAATCAAGCATGTGCTTGTTATATGTCTATATCTATTTCTATGTATTTCCATCACCATCACCATAAATACCATCAACAATAATATAATATAATATACTCGAGTAAAGCAGATATACTTACTCAAATAAAAAACTCCCAACCTCACTCACTCACATCACATCACATCACATCACCGACCAAGCAATACCGTTATCACATCAATTCAATTAACTACTACAAAATACTATACATTATGTACTATACACACAAGCGAACTAAATATGATTAATTAGTTAACACCTACTCGAGTATTATTATCATCATTCTCATTATTCTCATTAACCTATCATCATCATCACGAATCCTCACCACACCTCGACCTCACCACACCTCACAACCATAAAGTGTCCTCTCAGGCTGTAATGCACTTGGCCCGTTCCCGTTCCCTTACCCTTACCCGAACATATCGGTCGATAACCTTACTTCCCTGAGAGTATATAGCATTTGCGCACCCCATCCCATCCCAATAATCCCATCTATAGAAACCATATAAACCGAATTTCTAACTTGTAACTTAAAACTTAAAACTTAAAACTTGAGACGTACCGAAAAATGAAATGAATTAGGTAGGTCTACTCTGATGGGATGGAAATTATGATCTCATCTCTTCTCATCTCATATCATGGCTCAGCTCAATAAGATCTATATTAATATTATAACTATATTGTCGTGGTGAAATGTGTATGAGTAGTCATGATCATGATCCAAAAACCCAAGACATCATTTCTATTCTGAAGCACACGTCGTCTGGTTCATATCCCAAATCTTGACTTTCCACTTCTCACTCCTCACTTCTCATCAAGTCAAATGAAAATGATCTCCGTCCCCTTTCTTCCCCACAATCCCTAATCTCACCTTCCTCCTAAACCTCTTTTCTCTCTCCTTCCCCTCTCTCTCTTCCCTAATCCTCTTCTTTCTCTCATATACCGCCCTCACCGTCCCTCGAACCTGTTCTCTTCCCTCGTCAAAATTCGCTCGCGCCAATCTCACCACATTATCTATATCATCCGGGGTATATACAAAATTCCAGGTACTCATGTAATCGCTAATCGCCGGATCCACACCCTCAACCTTGGGATTTGCAAGAAATGGTAAATACACTACTGCAATACCTGCATTCGGTTCCATCAATTGCCAATCTTCCTTCACCGCTTTAGATAAAGGCGGTTCATCTGTCTCGGTGCGCTCTTCAGTTGTACCCACCCAGACAGTACAATAGCCAAGATCACCACTGTCTTCAGCATCGAGACTCCTGGGGTCATCCTCACTTAAAACCACCTTTTCCAAATGTGTGATTTGTTCCTCTTGTGCTTCTTCAAGCTTGGCATCTGCTTCGGCGGCGGTACTGACCTGGGCTTTTTCGAATTCTTCTTCGGTTTTCTCGGCGGTGTCGCTAGATTTCGGCCAGCCAACACCAATCGGCCATCCTTTCACGCCACGCTGTCTTGCATATCCATCGACTACTGACAACCAATTATCCGTCTTGACATCTGCACTTGCGTCAAATGCAATCAACACGTCGACTTCTCTTCCCGGTCGAAGGAGCGGATAGATAGGTAAATTGTTGGACATGCCCGCATCCATTAACTTCAGATGTGTAATTTGGTAGATACTTTCTGGGGCAGTTTCTGGGAGTTGTCCTTTCATTCCATGGGCAAAATTAGGGATACTAGCTGGATCAATCGGATGAACTTTGCTTAGATCCTCGTTTCGACCTTCGATCATATCATCGATGCTCCCAAAACCCATCAACCCCCTGACCAAAGGCCGGACTTCTCTATAGTAGTGACTCAAGGTGGCACAGAAAGCACTTCCGAAAATCCCAAGTAAAAGTGGTAATCGAAGCTCGGGAGTTCGTAATCCTGTCTCGTCATGAGGAACATCTTTTCCACCTTCGAATTGTCGACCGAGTGCCCAAGTTGGAATTCCTGCCCCAAATTCTTCACAAAACATTTCATACGGAGTTATTTCAAACCACTCAAACCATGCTTCTTGAACAGCTTTCACCTTGGTGGCCTCGGAAGCCGTTTCTTTCTGTTTCTCTTCGTCGCTTAACTCCTCTATTATGGGTATCTCATGACGCACTGCTGTATATATGGGCATTGGATTCTCACCATTCTCGATGTAATCTCGTTGATTCGATATTTTGAGATCTCGATCATCTACTCCCAGCTCGCCTTTTGGCACAAGTAATCTCGCAGCCAGTAGTAGCCCATACACATCCACCAAACCAATCTCTGCATTACGATCTCCTTTCAGCTTCTCGACAAAGCCACCCAGCAGAAACTTGTTGGTGGGTGCAGAATTAAGGGCGGAAAGGGCATCGACAGGATAAGCGATATGGATCCCGAGTCGAGCTTTCAAATGATCCACCAATCTATCAAGGCGTCGTCCACTGAGCGAAGAATTGAATAGAGACTGAAGCCAGCAACTACCACTCACGCCCGCAGTATAAGTGACGCAATCGAAAAGGCCATCCTCAGCAGCTGCTAACATCGAACCTGTACCGGCCACCAAAGCTCGTAAACCACCTCCAGATCCCACCATCGCAATGCACGGAACATCATCTGGGTGGACCGTTTCTTCCGGAAGTCCAAGGTATCTCGCAAGCGCTATTTTCGTCGCAAGTTTTCTCTTTCGTAGAAACTCCTTTTCCTCATCACAGATATCGTCTGAAACTCGTACCGAGGCAGAATAATTGATTTCAGGGTTCATATCAGGATCTTGGGCGTCTCTCCATATATCGTCTGCCAAAGAACCTGGTGCCATATTCAATTCCTTTCTCAATTTCTCAATATATCCAGGTAGGACCTTGGCCCAATCCGGCATTATATAATCGGAATAACCTGCAACTGTTTGCGAGATGGCCTTCCATTGTTCGTCAGACATTATGGAAAAGTCGTTGAATTTACCAATAAAACTTCCCCAAGCCGAACCATCTCCTGCTGCCACATCTTGTTGGAAAGGTAATGCTGATAGTTCTTCCGCATTTTTGATAACTTCTTTCTCTGCGCGAGCTGCAGCTTTCTCTTCTTCTGTGGGTGGTCTCTTTGCGCGTACCCGTGTAGCAGGTAAAGGTTGTATATCTAGGTAATCGTTTTGGTAAAGTATGTAGAATAGACTTAAAAGCATTATCGTGGAGGTCACCCCCACCATGGGTCTTGAGTATTGAGAGTACGAAGACATCTTAGCTTGTGCTTGTGATTTCTTCTTGGAAGATCCGAAAATACTTCTCGTCTGCGATCCGATGTGAAAGGATGTTATGCGCCTATGGATTAATGTTGTAGAACCGAATGTTCGACATGGCTGAGTAGTGATAGTGAACAAACGACGAGAGTCTTTTGCGCTCAACATAACGAAAAGAAAAGGCTCGCATGCAACTTGCAAGTTGCGATTCGAACGAATAGCATGGATTTAAGAGTGACAATCATGTTCCGGAGTGGGAATGAGGACGAAAAGAAAAGAAAAGAACAAGGGAAATCAAGGTATCAATATAAAAGATTTCCTATGCCTTGGAAATATTAATACCTACTCACTCATCATATGTGGCTGTGTATCTTATCAATGACGCCACAGGTAAATCTTTTGCTTATGATGTGGAGAAGATAAATAGAAGGAAGCTATGAAAATGAGAAGAGAAGAGAAGATAAAGATAAAGATGAAGATGAAGATATAAATCCCGCGACAACATGTTCTCTATCTCGTACTCCCTACCTAGCTAGCTACCTAGTACCCTACCTACCTACCTAGTAACATTACACCAATAATAAAGTTATAGCTACTTCCTTCCAATCTTGAAATTAAAATGAATAAATAGAGTACCATTATCAAATACATTCACTTTGTCTTCCTAGTACTTACTTCCACTCTTTTAATGGTGATGGCTACAACATCATCCGCATAATATAACAATCCCTTCTCAAACCTCATTCAATCTATTTGATGGTCGAACTGCTCCTCAAGCTTGTCTCACAATCAAAAATATAAACCTGCCACATTTCACCGCCTTATCTTTCATCAAATTCAGTTTAGCGTCAATCCCCCACAGATGACAATATGTACTCTGTACCCGTCGGTAGAAGAGGATGGTCCCTCGCATCCTCAAATATGGCGGTAGGCTTGGGTGGACGACAGGCCGCCGACGAGGAAGCGAGAGCTGAAGTCGATGTACTGAAAAGTAGACTGGAGAAGACGAGTCAATTGACGAAGAAGATCCAAGCAAGTTTAGGAAGATTGGATGCTACGGGAAAGGGGGTTCAGGAAGCTATTGGCCCAATTTATGGGAATACTCAGAAGCTCCAAATCTTGGGGCAGAGTAAGTATTTCACCAACTCGAAATACTGGTCTCATTCTTATATGTATTCGCAGATATTGATGGAGTTATTGCGGCGATTGATAGGATACGACATCCTTCAGACATCAAGAGCAATGAGGAGGATATCATTAGGAAGGGGTACGTCGCACAATCGTCAGCAACTCCAATCCTTACTAACACATCACAGCCCTGAAGCGGTCGGATTAGCAGTATTTCTCAGTTCTGTGAAGCGTGTCAATAAAACCCTCGCCGATATGAAACGAACGAACCTACGATCGAATCAACAAGCTACGGTTGAGCTTAGCAAGTTATCGAAATCAGGAAATACTCAACTGGAGTCGTATTTTCAAGGACTTCTTCAGGAAGATTCACAAGCACTCGAACCTCTACATTATATCACGAAGAATCAACCATTTCCTCTACTCTCTCAAGATAAAACTACAAGATTGGGTCTCATTACGAATTATATTGGTTCGGTAGTAAGACAATCTGGATTTGTTACGGAATCACCAGTTATGCAATCATATGCAAGCGTTCGAGGCCCATTTCTGAAAATCACATTACAGAATTTAGCCTCAGCATCAATGAATACCGCCAAGAAGAAGACTCCGGATGCCATGTATCGACAAGGAACCAATGGAATCGGGACATATGCGATGGGTATGGAGGGAGCTTTTTTGGCGGAATACGACAATATATGCGCTCTGTTCACTCGTGATGAATGGGGGAAAGTTTTTAATTTGACTTGTCAAGGAGCCATATCAGAATTGGCAAGAACTCTTCGAGAATTGAATAATCACATCAAGTCAAATCTGACAACTGATTGTTACCTTGCCTATGAGATAGTTGAAATCATCTCTAATCTATCCTCGAACTTGGAAAGTAGGACGGGAGAATTGAAGCCTTCCTTCGCAGCAGCTCTCAAACCCATAAGAGAAACCGGCAAAGGCTCCTTAGCAGAGCTTCTGGATGATACTCGACGAAGAATAAATCTTCTACAAGCATTACCTCTAGATGCCGCCACAGTACCCATGACCACCGAGACTATGATGCGATTACAGACCATGGTTGAGTTCCTCCGCCCTATCTCAAGTATCATGATTTCTATCGGTGATGGGGGTTGGAAATCTAGTGCCACTCCTCAAGGTTCAACCGACCAAATTCCCAGTCTAAAATCCTTTGACGTCAACGCAGATGGGAAACAAATATTCGCACATTATTGTATCGACACAATTGAAGCTCTTCTCACGAGTCTGGAACAAAAAGCTAAAGTGTTGCTCAAAGGTGGCAAGCCCGCCTTGGGGGTTTTCCTTGCGAACAATGCGACAATTGTGATGCGCATGATTGAGGGAAGTGAGCTAAGGGGATTACTCGCACCAAGGATAGGAGATATAGAAAAATGGGTTAAAACCGGTACAACTCTCTACACGGCTGCATGGCGTGAGCCATCCGGTTACCTTCTGGACGTTCAATACACAAATCGTGGTAACGCACGCCCACAATCTGGTTCCGCTGCTGCCAGCGTCGATAGTGCCGCCATTCTGAAGGGTCTCGGATCCAAGGAGAAAGATCAAATCAAGGAGAAATTCAAGATGTTTAACCAATCTTTTGATGATCTGGTACAGAGACATAAGTCATTAATGATGGAGAGAGAAGTGAGAGAGGCGTTGGCGAGACAAGTGCAGAGTTTGATAGAACCATTGTATGGCCGATTTTGGGATAGATATCATGAGGTTGATAAAGGAAAGGGGAAGTATGTTAGATGGGATAAAAGTGCCATCAATGCTATCTTTGTCGGCTTAGCTTAAAGATTGAATGGAGGAAGGAACTATGGAAATGGATGGGAAAGCAACAGACTACCAGATAGTCGACACGACGCACTTGGCTAGTCGAACGTTACTTTGCGATTCGATCATCGTGGCCGCGTATGCTATAGATATAGCGGGAGTAAGCGAATATTTGGTCAGACGGCAGAATGTAGCGTGAAGACGAAACAGGAAAGGATTGTCAAGGTGTCAGACAGACAGACAGACAGACGCGTATGACAATGTGATGCAGACGATAGCTGGGGTTGAGGATAGAATAGCTAGTAGGTACTAGGTAGTAGGATGAAAACAGTCCAGCGAGAGGGTGAAGCTAGCACAGACAGCATGTTTCTTGCTTGAATTTCTGATTTGATTTTGATTTGATACCAACTTGAGCTTGAATTTGGGTGGGTTGGTAACCTAAGCTGGGATGGAACAAGGAGTTTTTTCGTGGGGGTCGCGTCGTATGCATGTATATTGGATTAGGTTACTGCGGTCATTCAATTCAATCCAATCAACCAATCGTATGATATTACGAGGATTGTCTTACTTGATGGATTAAGCGAACCATATATGTATATGGCTTGTCTGAGTAGTGTATATCTCTCAATCTTACTATAAAGGGTCACTTTTTGAGGAATCTAGTTATAAAAGTACCGTCTGATACCTAGATGGAGTATCTCTATCAATTCAATCCTATAATGCTATAATTGTGTTGATATACAAGTAGTCCTCCTCCCTCACATATTCCAGAGCCTTCCAGACCCACAACCAAACAAGCTCCAAATAGCCCTCTCATTAATTCTATACACAGCCCTCCTAATCCTACTTGCTAATATTACCATAACGATACTACAAGCCCCCATTAAAACTGCCCCTTCCCCTTACCAAAATGCTCGCCAGCACCAACAGTAAGGTAAGGCACCGAATTAGCATCGTCGGTGTTGGATCCAACGGTATTTCCCCACCATGTAAGTGTTATGCGGTTGTAGGTTAGTGCGAAAAATATTATTACAGTGGCGAGTGCGGTGCCGGTGTCCATGGCTGCTTGGAGGAGATCTGGATGAGAGGGTGTGTGGGTTAGTGAGTGGGTTGGTAGGTTGGTGGGTGGTTTATGGGGAATTGAACGAGGGTGTGGTTGAGAATGATGATGGGGGATGGGGGATGGGGAAGAGGAGTGAGGAGTTTCCATTGGATGGATGGATGGATGGATATACATACAATTATATCGTTTCCACCACGCAAACGCACGTTTGCGAATGAGGAAATTGAATAGAAATCCAAATATAAACCACAGCGAATACTGCGTCGTATTCGCAGGCGGAATATTACCCGCCGCGTTGAAAAATACAGGAACGTTGATATACCGCACCCAGCTCTTAGGGTACCTACGATAAATGTAGTAGACGGCAATGGTAACAATAGGTCCAATAAAGAAAAAATACATAATACTGTTGTATGTCTGACCCGCCTGAAACATACGCTGAGGACCAATCGTCCCCCAGATCAGCGACGCATTATACACGACTTTCGACCCGGCACACGTAAACCGCTGTGTGTTTTTCGAGCTGCACAGATTGGGAATGTTGCTAAGCATCCAGCGCAATACACCCGTCTGTGTAGCAGTCGCCAGCACAGAGGCGTAGATTTGTCCAACGAAGAGTACCCGTGGCGGTATCTTCATGTATTGTCCAAGCTTGAGATCTTGCGCGAAATCCATGCCGTGTTTGACGGAGTTGTATCCGTAGCATTTCACCATCATGTTGGCAATGGGTTTTCCGGGCCACGCATACCCGGCAATGAGCTCGGCGATGATGTTGAGGAAGACGCGCTGATTGGTTGTGCCTTCGAGAATGCCGTCGGGTATGATGAGGAGCACGCCCATGCCGCAGCATACGACGATGAAGCCCCAGACCGGTAGCCCGGAATCCCAGTACTGGACGGTGAAGATGCCGAGTCCGATGACGATGAGGGTTAGGACGCCGTACCACCAGTCGGGTACTTCTTGGTAGTGATTCATGAGCCGTTTGTGAATGTCCTCGCCTCCAGATCGAGAATTTTTAAATTTGGCCCAGATTTCCTTTCCGTTGTAGAGATAGGTGTGGAAGATGATGGCGGTGACGGCCGCAAAGGATAGGGCGTATGATAATGTATATGACATGGAGATATACATCGGCGAGTACTCTTCATACTTACCGAGGACAAATTCCAAATTCTCATCCACAACCCGTGTGATATTATAAGTGCCGCCTGTATTGTCGAAGGTACCTGAGGAGAGTAATGGTAGACTGTGTTTGAGGTTAATTTTATTGAGAGCGCAGTGGGTATACGTGATAGGAAACTTACTAGCCACTATTCCAAACATTGCTGTAATACAAGATAGGGGATAGAAATAGATAAAAGATCACTACAACGGCAAAGGCATTGCATGTAATGTAGAAAGGTGTCGTGAGGGGAGTACCAGCATATGTAATCTGCGTCCAATCAAAACTAATGGGCAGTAACCCAAGACCAGAATTCATCCCAAAGATAGTATTGACAATTTGATTGTGCGGAACGATCCAAGTGATGAAGGAGAATGTACTTAGACTCGTCCATAGGTAATCGGGAAACCAGAAAATCACAAACGCAAAGATGGTGAAGTAGGAGAAAAATCGATACCGGGATATCGTCCAGCCATTTGCGGAAAAGTGCTCCTGCGGTTCATGTAAAGTCCGGAAGAGAACCGTCGATGCTAATGATGAAGGCCAAATGAGAGCTGCAGGGTAAACGAGCCATCGACGGGCCATACCGGCAAGACCAAATCCAAGCATTTGCGTGGTGAGGAGGAATAGGAATGAGAAACCTGCTCCGTTATCGTGGTCCCAGAAGACGGGACTGACAATTGCTACGAGGGCACCTGTGGCATAGGCAGCGCTCGCACTAATGTTCACGCACTTTGAGATAGTCAGCTCTGGCTGGAGAGATAGGAATCGAAAACTAGAAACAAGAAATCTGGAAAGAACTCACAATGACAATGAGGGAGTGTTCTTTTATGGAAAAGGGCCCGGGATTAATGTCAAAGGACAAGGAACCCAGTGGTAGTCTCCATCGAGGTAACTTCTCCCATGCTCGTCCAATGGGGAACACTAACAATTGTGCTACGACATATCCGATAGTAAGGGAAGGCTATGTTTCATTAGCAACCATGTTCAGCGTATATCAAATAGAGATATAGAGACATACATAGCGTAAAGCGAAGAATTGATTGGCGCCAGCAAAGAGGATCACAAAGACAGTGGTGAGAAACCATGCACGAAACGCTGCACATAGTCAGAATGATGAGGAACTAGATGTGGAAGAGCAGTGTGGAATCAACTTACTACTACATGGGATACTCGGATCATCTTTATTCGGTACGCAAGCAGCAACCTCAGGAACTAGTAATCCTCACATCAGTAAAGTCATTAGCCACGAGTCAATGGGATAGGAAACGTACAAGGTGATTGGCCACCCTCAACATTCCATTGAAAAGCTTCCGTGGGAATGAGTTCAACAGCTTCGGCTTTCTCTGTTATTCTCTGTTTCACGACCTCGATTCCTTCTCCCTCAAGATCAGCTATGAAAGGAATAATTGTATCCTTTGCCGCCGTCTTTCCTTGTCTCTCTGAGGTGTGAAAGACATTCTCATCACTCGAATTGTCGAAAGGAACTTGCGCAATGCTGGTAGACATTGTAACGCCAGAATCATGTAGGAAGCAGAAGCAGAGCCTAATAGACGTACTTCAACGCCGAGAAGAGGAGGAGCGACAAGCCATCGTGATAATACACGGGATCCAAAGTCCGGTATATAAACCACCAGTCGACCAACATAAACTATATTTGCGTATCGATTCCATTATGGCTGTTTGCACCTGCCATCGCAAGGTCAAGTTGCGTGATATCCCCTAGAGATAGACAATGAATAGATATTGGTATAGAAGCTCCATAACTTACCGGATAAGCAAGAACGATACGCAGTCTTATCTCTATTCGTACGCTGGAGGATGAACTCTAAAGTCCGGCACTCCGATGATTATCAATTGACCTTTGGACAACGAGAAACTTCATGCTACTCATTGGCTTCATGATAGTTGCGATAGCAGCAATACAAAGCGAATCCACAAAATTGTCTTCGGTTTATCGGGATTGCGTGCTCTTTAGCGGATCATATTACGAATTGATTGATACTCATTGCTTAGATAAAGGAATACCTTTGTGACCCTTGGAATTGCGTGAATCGCTCCCCTCCCCTTCCCCCCCACACCACTAAATCCAATTCGACTATTTCAACTTCAACCATTTAGTACTAGTACATCTTTAAACTTAGGGTTAAACCCTATAAAAACTATATAACCTAGGAGCTTTAAGTTAATCTCATTTACTTATAATTTGCTTGATCATCTTGTCTTTTGTCAATTGATCTTAAGGTTCAATTCGTAGATTTTGTTGAAATACAGCGAATTAGAAATAACTAAGGGATTACTTGATTATACTATAACTATAGGACTTACCCTAAAAAAAGCTGAACATCTCGAAAGCACCCAAATTATATATATATAGTATGCTCACTACTTCATTTTGATTTATCATTGAGGAGTTTAACGTTACTACTGTAAAGGAGTGAAGGTAGGTGTGAAATCATAGGCAAGCCTTCACATAACCACATATAGCACAAGAATGATAGTTATAATCAAAAGGAAATAAAGTAACAATTCGTCTAAACACGAAGGGTAGGTATAACTTTTAAGGGATAAAACATGACACTGAGCTAAACTACTGGAAGAGAGAAGTATAGGTTGGCTTTCTTACACTACTCAAGTAAACATAATCATTTGATATCCCCATTAAGACTCGAATAAACCTCAAATTGCTTTCGGAAGTCAAGGAGATAAACTATCTACCGGTATAATATTTAAATATAATTCATACTACCCAGTGTTATTGATGAACAGTAGCAGGGCAACAAACAGAGTGATATAGAGAGTCGTAGAAATATATCTTGAGCATCTAATTCAAAGAAAGTTTAATCATTATACTAAATATAAGTTACAATTAATACTTCAAGCTCGAAAATCTGGAGAAGATGGAGAAAGCGAGTCCATCTTTCCATGGGTAGTACATAATAATCGCTTATACTCTGAGGGATTGTCTTGTGAGTACTCTATTTGTACAGATGTGGAAGAGCACTAGTACATAGTACGATAATATGCGGATATTTTTACTCCATTATTTACGAGTAGTCAAAAGGCGGGGTTTCGGTGCCGCAGTAATGGCTATTCTTGATCTTACCTCCTACCTAGGTAGTTTGGTAACTTTCGTTGGCGCGATTTTAGTTTGTGCTTTAATGAGGGGGAGAGAAGTGGAAATGCGGGGTGTGGGGAATGTCATGCTCCATGAATTCCACGACACCTCTTGCATGTAAACGTGTGAATGGATATTGTTGGATTTTCTGTTGGTGTATGCTATATGTCTTAATACTTTGTACGAGGACAGAGATCTTTGCATGTGTTCAAAGAGAGGGGAGCAGGAATGAGAATGGAATGTTTCGGTAATAGACAATATTGTCTAGAAGTCCGGATATGTCATGATATTGAGAATGAGGATCATGAGGTTTGAATCCCACGAAAAGCTAATATCACTTGATACTTTATATATTAGAACTACGATGCATAATCGATTGGTAGTGGACATTGCTCAAACAATGCGGAGTACATCCTTATCCTCGAGATGTCAAATCAAAAGTCGGTATTTCAGATCTCCCAGGACAAGAATCATCACCACACAGAAAGTGTTGAAATGGAAAGATGAACGTCACACAACCATTTGAGAGTAATATATACTTTGCTCTTCATTATTGGTATATTAAAGTGTACAAGAGTGGTAAGTCATCGTGTTATACCACATGGTTAATGGTACTAATGATTCATCATCAGTCATCCGGCATCCATCATTCATCCTTAATCCCAAGTCCCCAGAATAACATAACATAGACTCATGGATCATGTCCCACCGCGTCGTGCATGATGAGGGTATCCAGCATAGCGGCACAGAATTTATCGATAAGTGAAAGGAAAGTCACGAGCCCTACCTTTATCCATCGGTATGTACGAATAGATGAACCCATGAGCCTACAGATGAACAATACACCGAGCTGATAATATCCCGAGTTTCAGCACGGTGTACGATATGCGATATGCGACCCTTCCTTTCTTGTGTATCACAACATAATCATCAGTGCGAAATGCAAGATAGAGGCGTAGGTTCATCGGTCGGTCGGTCGGTCGGTGAAAGTCACACAAATGAGCCGATGGTCTGACTGATCCGCTAGCATATAGCCAAAGAGAAATCGCACGGTGCTTGATCATTTCTTGACGAGCAGATCGCTGACTGCCGATACATGCTATCTGCAGGTGGACTGAGTAGTATGCACGGGGGGGATAATGTCTTCCGTCATCTCGAGAGCCTGTATCATGTAGTAACATGTGGAGAACATGCCTGTCTGATTATAGCCTGTGGATTTTGAAACTTGATGATTTACGTATATTAGCGTTTTGTGTCACTATCAAGCTCTCATTCGCCCGTTTGTCCGCTCCAAACTAACTCGCATTTCTTCGCTCGGACCAGACCAAAGCCGTGATATTCCCTCTTCATCGCAGGCGCGTTGCAGCAAACGTGTTTTATACGCGAGACTGTATTCGGTAAGTGAGCGCAGTCAAGGTCTCGGAGCAGTGCTCACTAAGCGGTCCGAGGGTGAAAAATAAAAGGCTGGGGATGGGTGACCCCCACGATGAAACAGTTGATGAAGATGAAGAACGGGCCCAGTTCAATATCGACTTGGCTGGGTGGGGTGGATTGATGATCATGGTTCACATGGTGATTGATGTTAGTTGAGCCAAGCGAGCCGAAGTTGGGGGGTGCACGGGTCTTTTGCTAGGTAAACTGGGGCCCGGCAGAATCACTATCAAGGGTTGTTGGAGATATGCAGACTAACGGGAGTACGTACTTACGGCAGCGGCCGATACTTGCTACAGAGGGAGAATGCTAGCGTTGATTTAAAATAGAAAGAGAGGTATCCCTGTCTATACGACTTATCAGCCTCGCCGAGGATGAAGGAAGGAAAAAGTGATGAAGTTTGAAGAATGATAAGGTTATGTGATCATAATTTCTAGCCCCGGTCCCGGTAATGAGGGCCTGAAGCGGGGTTACTCGGAACGGACGGTTGTTTACATTGAAGAAACGTTGTGACGGAAATAGATACAAATGAGGAGGTTCGGCAAGCCGTGTTTAGCTTTGATTTGAGGCTATTTTGGAGTATTAATGCAAGTTTAGAAGCTAATACATACTGGGTAAGCGACATCAGTGTGTCTCGACTTTCGATATGGTAGTTGTGGTCTAAGTGACCATGGTCCTAGCGGATTATGGAGCAGGCTTTGTGGCACCATGTCAGGGATATTATCGAAGAGAGTTGCGAATGGAGACCTGAGATAGATTGGAGAAGAGTTAGAGGCGATCGAAAGGTGAAATATTAGGAGATGAACCATGGATAGGTCTGTAGATCGTGAAGTGGTTGATAGTGCTAGAGTTGGGTGTAGAACATAGTCAAAGAGGAAGTTAATTTCGCGAGGAATACCTCATTAGGAGCCTTCCATTGAAAAAGGATGTTGCTTAGATGAATGAATCTTGTTTTGGGACTTGGCGCTTGTTATGCGGCCAGTTCTAGGAGAGAAACTAAGGGGTCATTATTACAGCAAAGGGTTTTTGGCTATTGGTCAAATCGATGTAGGGTAGCAGTGTCGGCTTGGACACAACGGTCTTCATTCTTCACCGATGGATTGTTGAAGTTTCGAGGGTGAGAGTAGTGTCAAATCAGTTGGGCTTAGCAATCTACCACACAAGGTGGTGGGCGCCGGAGACCCGGTGATTTGATCGTTATCCTCTTGACATATTTGGATATTTCTGCGACATCAACACTTTAAACAAGGAAAGTCAACCTAGCCGTTGCATATTGAAGCCTTCTATACTCCGTCGGGTATCTTAGTTCTCCAATATCTGAGATCTGACTATGCACAGGCTATACTAGGTGTATCGCCGATTGATAAAGCAGCAGATCAATGCGACATTCTAAACCTAATGCCTTATGTGTAAGCATGAAATCGTGTCAGTTTGAGGTGATCGAGGTGATAGAACGTACAGGTAGGTAGACTGGCTTTCCATCGAGCTCCTCCTATACGCACAAGTGTACAAACTACCCATGCTAATCATGGTAGATGCATCATTATTACACAGACATTGCTTTGTATACGGAGTTAGAGGGAGGCAGGAATACATATGTATGTATGTATGTACCAGTCTAGAAGTTATCAACACAGCTCAATCAAAACATAAGTGGAGAAATCAAAAGCATCCTGCATATAGAAATGTACAAAACTCCAAACAATTATTAGCTAGTAATTTCATACGTGGTGATAGGTATTACCTTCTAATTGTGTAGATATATCACACTTGGTTAGCAACATTGATGTTTTCTTCAGGGGCTGATAAATCCTTATACTTAGAGATCCAGAGGCTCAGGGGCAAGATTTAAATGAAAGTAAGACATTTTTCGTCAAACCCCGGGCAGCCAAAAGTCTCGTCCCCTACTTGCATAAATTTCGGTTGCGGCAGGATTGTCTAACCAACGTTAGTGGAGGTGTCCCGACAAAACGGGCCACAGTTCGGCATGGGTCCGATGTCCTCCTGTCATTGTTGGTGAAGCTTATGCAAATGTTGATTGGATATAGGGCTAAATACGCACTGATGGGGATTGAAACGAAAGATGGAGAAAGACATGGGAATAGGACAAGGTTTGACTTAGAACATGGGTCTCGGTGAGAAAATGAGGTATAGTTGGAGGATTTTTGTGCTAGTGATCGATTGCTGTATCCATCCGTATCGCCCCTGTCAATACCTCTGTATAGGAAGGGTCTTTGGGTATATTTGAGATCCCAGCATTATAAAATTCTAGATTGTGGTCTACAAAGTGGAGAATGTAGGGAAGCGAAGATATAAACCGGTATGTGCTCTGTTAGATTGAGTTATACAACATAAGCGATATATGTAATGGATGGGTGGCGCGAGAATCGAGGGGTCAGTTAATATACTATGGGCTGAAGGAGGTGGACAATTGCATGGGATTTGAGAAAGCATTTGTCTGGGAATCGAGGGGAAAGACGCCTTGATTTTACAGTACCTCATCTTCCCCTCCTATTTTCCTATTATAATCTCATTGATGACTTGGTTCAAAAGAGAGCTGACATGTCCTTGGCATCCATGCTATAAGGATCGTGAAATTCTAACATGCTTGCGCAGTATCAAAGGCCCTCCACTATATATACACTACTATATATATATATATGCAATGTGCGAAAATGGAGCCACATGACTTTGATTCCCTCTCTCTGCGAGGAACTGTGTCCGCCATTTGCTAATTACATGAGGACAATCTTGATTAGTTAGACATTTATCATTTATTTTTATCTTACTTGTATAGTGGGTTCAATTCGTCTAAGTAAAATCGACAGTGGATCCTGATTGCGGGATAGATTCTGGGACCAATTAACAATATCAAAGAGAAGAAGTATGCAAAAGAAGGAGCGAGGGAGGGGTGGATGACGATGAAAGCCTCACTCTTTTCTCACCGCTGTAAGCAAACGCAGGGCAAGACAAGAGTGCCAAGGCTGTAATATACATCCCCTGTTTGCTTGCTGCTTCTCCTTGCGCATGCGGTATGTTATATTGGTGCGTTTTAATAATCATGTGGAGAAATGAATTATTAATAAATCTAGTAATGTTGATATTTGATGAGTGAGTGGTGATAATCAAACTCTTAAGAAGCTGGGCGTAGGATATCGGATAGTTTTACTGTTTGTTGCCTAATGTTAAGATGTAAGTATATATAGATTGACTCAATCCCCCTCTTAAAAGAGAGTTTGAACCATCAAATCTCAAAAAGTCTATCCTCTCTTCTCCTGAAGCTCAAGCTTCAGCCCTATATCACCACCAAAAGAAACAGTCCAAAAATAACGAGCGACCCTCACTTCGCATTCAAACCCTTTAACCTCTTACACAAACCTCACAGACCTCTTCCGCTGGAATCACCATACATCACAATGGCAGTCATCAAAATCACACCCATGGTCAATACCTGCTGCCCACAATGCTGTAAAGAGGAACAGTACGGCGATCACGATTATTGCGGTTGGTGCGAGGTTACAGACTGTCTCTAGGTGTAATCAATCATCTCATCTTAGTACAAGCTGATGATGTTACACACAACTATCGGATGGGAGAGTGTGTTTGGCGTATTCAAGGATCCTTTTGGCAGAACCGTGTCGGGGGTTATCTCTTTTTGGCGAATACTGGAATCTGGCTTCGGAGCAGGTGTATGGAATAATACCCGACCATTTGGGTGTTTGGGAGCGGAATCGTTATGGATTGGTTGGCATGGGTCGGAATCGGGAATCAGGAATCGAATTGGATGATTGTTGATGATGTGCTGGTTACACACTGTTGGAGATTGACTTTTGGCATGCATGGGATTATTCGTTAAATTGGTGGTGTGCGTAAGGATGAAAGTTATTAGGTACCCGTTGGAAATGCTATCCTCGTTCCTGTATTCGTGCGATTTGATTCTTCTCTCAAAGTGACACATGTGGCGGCCTCCCTGAGACCCTGTAAGATATATATAAGAAAACCCCTTGCCATTCGTGGTATACAAGCATGGTGACCGTTATACCGCATTCAAGACTTCTAGAAGCTGACGAATGCTGCCGTGGAACCGCTGAAAGCAACCAGTCGATACCCTCCGAGTGCCACAGGACCGCAGCACATATTACACAGTCTGAAGAAACCTGATCCAACTAATCTTTTTTTTCTTGGCTACCAGAGTTTCAGCCTACTCGGTGAAAGCAGCCCAAGCAATAATCTCGATCCTTTCTCCATCCCACGTTTTTGCTCTATATCCTCACAGGTGATGGGCGACGTGGCATTTTGATATCCCTCTCTATGATCTTGTGATTTGTCCCAGCGAACTGGAAAGACTCCAACATCCGGCCGAAGATTAATAATGGTGAGCTCTAGATGAACCTGGTGGCATAATAAAAATTTTGATAGTGGCTGCAACGGTTATGAACTTGGCGGAAGATAGTAGAAAGAGATATAACAGGTCAAACATGATATTGCTGACTGCCGACACCCGATTCTCAAAGAAGAAGAAGAAGAAGAAGAAGAAGAAGAAAATGGCTTTGGATTACAATACAATATTGAATCATTCCAGTTTAGAAAAATGGCCTGATGGAAAAGGGACAAAGCGTTAGCAAAATGAAATAATTTTGAGCAAGGAGAAAAAGTACCGATATCTAATATAATAATAATAATAAAGAATAAAATATTATATTAATAAAACCTTTTGATTTAATATAAAATTTGTTTGATTTGAAAAAAGGGAGAAAAAAAAAGAGCGAAAAGAGAAAAAGAAAATTGTTACTCCCTTTCATTTTTACTTCTTCTATAAGTGTATTATATTATTGTTAGCGAAGATTATTACTCCTTTGATACTACTCCTTCGTTATTACTCCTTTCATATTGTCGTTAGCGTCGTTACCGTCACTATCATTTATCATTGTCACTGTCACTCTCACTCTCACTCTCACTCTAACCGTGATTGACCCATCTCCTCATCTCTCATTAGAATCATCACATCTTCAGTATGAAACAGAATCTGATATGAAAAATCATTAAATTTCATTATTCATTATTCATTATTATTTCTCTTTCAACTCAGTACCTCCGTACGTGAGATTGCAATTTCAAAGGTTGGAGGGAGCAGCCGAATACTCATTCCCAGCCCAACTTCCCTTATAGAATCGACGCATAACTCAATCTCAACGCGAACGTTACGAAGCAAATATGGTACTCTTCACAGTTCGACTCGAAGCATCACCTTGAATAACTTTGACGATTACCGTTCCCGTGGAAGATGCTGTCACTGCATCCGATGAGTATAGAGTATATGCTCCAGCGGTACCAAACGAAGTCATTGTTACATTTTTGTGAACAATCTTTGGACTTATCGTCCCTTCCTGATCAGTGGGGACATAAAAAACCGCTGTCATATCCCCATCGCCGCTAGCAGATGTAAGAGCAGCGCTCTTGACGACGAGAGATCCGGTTTTCGAGTCAAAGGAAGATTGTGCCGGCAAGACAAAGATGTTGTCATTGATCGGATAAGAAACATTGTTGAAAGATAGGGATGTTGTCCCTGAAGCAATTGTGCTGTTGAATGGCCAATAGGTCGTCGAGCCGAAGACAGAAGTCCCGGAGCCAGATTTCTTACTGCTAGTGGCGGTCGAAGATTTTGCAGTAGTGGAAGATGTCGTTGTGTAAGAGACCGTGTCTGGAGGCTGCGTGGTGGTGTAGAGGTTCCGAATAAGTCCCGAGATGGAAACATTGCCAGCAGACGAGACATCCATCATTACATCTACCGCTTTCCATTCCATAGGTTGGACCGCATCCGAAAGAGTCACTGTACTAGGTACGACGTCTATCATCTTCTCAAATAATGAGTTGCATCTACTTTGAAATGCCGTTTCCTCGGACATACTTTGAACGGTTGCATTGTTATCAGATATGTATAGACGATAATCCGATCGAAATGCCACATTTGCTGCTGTGCAGAGGGGACCCCCAAGATTTCCGGTGCCATTCAAATATTCATTGATGTTGTTCGGATCAAAAACACCTGGCGTGGAGTCAAATGGGTCACCTCCATCGAGATTGGTTGGGGAGACAAAAGATGAATTGACAACAATTGCAGTGTCAGAATTATGAACACGACCCAATGAATGTCCGCACGCTGTTAGGGCGATTGTGTCACTAGCATCGAATCCGGATGCTGCGAATTGAGCAAGGGTCTTATTCAGATCTGTTGGTGGTCCTGGAACACCAGCTGGGCCAGCTGATGTTGCATCAATTCTACCAACACGCAAATTGATTCCCGAGTCAGAACCACCACATTTTGCAACTGCCGCAACAACCGCTAAAGCTGCATTGTCACTCATGCTTAAGTACGCACTCACTGTCTATCCGATAATCAGTATTTGACAGACGAATATCCAGGTGATTTTTGGATCCAATCTTACTGGTTTGAATAATGTTAAAGAGTCGTTCACGAATGGTCCATGGTTTTCTCCACGATTACTTTCGAAACCCAGTGATGCATCCATACCCCTTTTTTATATCAGCTTAAGTTCGCAATTTATCCTCGAGAAAGAAGCATACCCTGTTCCAGTCGCAGCGTCCGCTGTTACGAAATCATGAAAGGCGAATCGAACCCATTGAGCGGAAGTTTGTCTGCCTTGGTTGCTAGACCCAGAAGCGTAGTTCAGACAAGGCGACACGTCTTTCAAAAAGCCATTCGAGTTGGTTCCATCATTGTCGACCCAAACATGTTCCATCTCTTCCATCATATCCCTCACATCTATGCCATCAACTTGGGCATGGCATCCGCTGAGAAGCCCGGAGGCACAAACAAAAGCTATCACGAAAGTTTTATACATTATGCTTGAAAAAACGAGAGACTGTGATCTGTAACGGGATATATTGAGTAGGATACGTTCTTCAAGTCTCCATCTAAGTCTCATGCATTATACTTATATTGCTTTATTGATATCTCGGTCCCGATGACTTCGAAGAATTTCACGGCGCAGTTGAATCGATCCCATCGCCATCATCGATACATTCATCTTCTCCATAGCCTTTGCATATGTCGATCTTCACCTTTTGAGTAATCTGAAGGTAGCTATTGGACAGATGAAATGACCGAACACCGAAAACTCCATGATTGTCCCGTCCGTCGTAAAACAATTATCAACTTCGAAACTTCGAAGGCTTGTGTACGAATCGCATTGCATCCGGTTGCCTTCAACCTGCCAGAAATGGCGATCTTCAAAAACCAATCCGTGACTACAGTCGATGATCCCGAGCGGTGAGGTTCACGTTAATGCACAACGGAGATTATCCGATTTCCGACTGATCAACTTCCTGCATGGAACACACTTTTTGAAAGGCCTTTGAGTTTAAAACAAATTGAATGATCCTAATAGTCCCCCACTTTTAATCATGGCTGGCTGTATAGCAAGAGGCTTAAGTGAGAAGGGCATGGCCTCTTTTCTGAAAGCTTCTCATCTGTATGAAACGTTCATGGCCTTTCCAGGGGCATGATAATTTGTTTCTACTACGGAACTTTGATCGATCTTATTATTACTGGCAGCAGAGTGCACGACTCCAATATCATGAAGATCCACACACAAAGAATCCCTCGCTTTGCAGGTGATCAACAAAATGGGGCGATAGGAGAGTTTATGCATAACATGCACCTTGCTGACGCTTGTTCTTCCTGGTCCACTCCCTTGATCTATGGCGCGGGGATGAGAGCCGGATACTGAGGTCGGAGGTTTATATATGTCCCTCCGACAAAAGGATTCCGCTTTGACTGGAAAGTGCCTCAACCAGCCGCATTGAAGCATCTCTAGCGCAATGTTTTGATATCCCACATGTTAGCTTCTTCTAGCTTGAGGATCGACAGATACCATCGGTGGTCCCACTGGTCTCATTGGCTCATACATTTTGCACGCGGATACGCTTTTCCTGCATGCCATGATAGAGAAAGTGGTCCAGAAAAGTTGCAAGATCGCTTAAGCAGGGACATCGACCAGACCCAAGTTCCGCTGATGATTTCTCGAAGACAAAAATCTCAAATGTATTGAATGAATTTCCTACTGCCTCAATTGATTCTGAACACATGTCGGCTAAAGTATCGCGCCCGTTAATTGGTGAAGATAGCAGGACTATATCGATCCGATATCAACCCACGCACCTTCCGCACGGATAATACTCCGGCGGCTATCTTAACATCCAAGAGGTCCCAACGACGCGCGTCTCTCCGCACCGAGTACTACAATATCAAAATGTGCCACATGATTCTTGACTTCCTGATATTTGGTTTTCACCTGCTCATTTGATACCTGAAATTAGGAGGAATTTATGGTGAAGTGGTAGTCAACCTGAAGTCCATTTCTTCCAAACGCACCATGTCTTTTTGAGGTAGTCTCTCTTTGGGGCCGGAGAGTCTGACGTTATAAAATCCTAAGCACTCTGAATATTTTGTTCTTCTTACATTTTCCCTCATATTTCTCCGGGCATTGTCGCCGATGTTTCCTCTATAATAGTCGGCTCTCCATGGAACGGCCGCCTAGTTCCTAGTTGGGAAAGCGGTTGTAACTCGCAAGCGATTGTCCCTCTTCAATAATATAATGTATATTCATTCTGAAAGTACAAAAAATCATTTCTAGTATACCAGGGTCATAGTTCTATGACTTAGTATTCCTTCTTCCCAATATACATTCGAAAGGGGACAATCGCTTTCCCCGATTGGAAACTAGGCGGCTGTTCCATGGAAAGCGGACTATTAAAATTCTCATTGCATTACTGCTCGAGGGAATCGGAGGGGTGGATGTAATTGATAGATAGCGTGTACACCAAGACTCCTCAATATACTGGATGTTCTGATATTTTCTGGACGATCTTCTTTCATAATCGCGCTTAGCATCAACGCTCACTGTCATCTGATAACTTATTCTGTGTTTCATTCTGTTTGAGAGTTTTGGAGTATAGAAGATTCCTCATTGATTGTCAATAACTTCAATTCTGAGTCTCTTCATCAATAGGCATTTCACCAGTGACTTGGAATGCCCTGTTCAAAAAGAGACCAGACTTCTGAGTGAGGTGGAAATACTTCATTCTTCTCTTCGTTCCTTGTCGACCACTCGGTCATATGGTTTGGATCACTAGATCAAGTTATTAAGGTTTTCACTGGCTTACTTGAAATTAGCGAAACTCCCTGTTTTCCATATCATGTTACATAGCTGGACAGATTTGCTGCTTTCATCGAGGGGTATAGAGATAAGTGATGGGTGCAAGGTCAATCATTGTACTCTGATTATCCTATCAATTAAAGAGAGGTTCAAGTTGAATGTCTACCCAATACAGACGAGGCCGGCCTTGCACAGGTTATCCAATAGTCCAGATAACAGTCCAACAATTAGATATTCTTAATTCCCGAATATATCTCAAACACTGTTTTGTTGTGAAATATTGATTACCTCAAATCTTTTGAAATCATTTTATTTACTAAACTAAAACCAATTTTTTTTTAAATAATTATTAAATACATATTAAAAACAAACAACAAAAGTGTTTTCCGAGACATTCGCTACTGCTAGAAAAGAATCAAAAAATCAACAAAATCAAAACTTATAATCGCTGAGTTCAGTGGACAAGTCAGCTAATTCCTTTTCCAACTGATTTCCTTCTTCTTCAAACAACTTCATCATTGATAAACTAGTTCTTCTCATCAAAATGGCGATTTTATAATCAATTAGCTTATAAAAAGCTTTAGCATATCCATGACTTCCCTGAAGAGAATGATTATCCCCTTGGCCCTTGAGTTGATAAAGGTCTTCCATAACACTGACAGCGGTCATGGGTAGGGTGGTTGTTTCCATCACTGAAGGGGCTGGTCGGTTTTTGATGGTATGGTCCTTGATGATGAAGCCCGAGGATCCCCGGAAGAGTTGGGGAGTGAATGGAGATAAGAGCGTTGGTTGTATGTGTCGCAGAAGATCCATGGAAAATGGTCGAGCACTGGTGTTCTTTCCGCTGAGAACGACCTTGGATGGAGTGACCTCGGGAATGAAAGGGTTGAGAAGTGTGACCTCGTGGATTGTCTTTTCATTGATGTAGGTCACAAACCACTGTGTCTCCATGATGGCGGCGCAAAATTGATCCATGTCTCGATGTAACAGCATCAAGGAATCAGTTCCCTTCTTCTCCCAGATGCTACCTCCAGCTGAGGAAATTTGGTGGCGCATGACACAGCCATTGAAAGCTCCACCTGCTGCAGTATGTGGTCCTACTTCCTCGTTCTTCTTGACTCGGAGAATTGGTACTCTGGCCAAACGAAGCATCTCGAAGAAGTCGTAGTTGAGACGGTGTCCGATGCCAGTGATGAATTTGACCTCGACGAAAAGATTGGTGGTAAGCATGGTGTACTTTGCTTCGTCGTTGATCTGGTGGCAGGTTTGCAAGAGCTGAGGATGGATGTCGTGCTCATATTTGGCGAATTCCGTGGGTTCAGCGAAGCTGTCGGGTGTCTTGAGGTCTCGGATGTCGCAGAGTACCAGACCATAGATCTTGGTTCTGATCTCACTAGGGAGGTCGAGAAAGCGAAAGTTGTTTGAGGAGGAGGCCGAGTGAGATGGTCGTCGAAGTGACATGGTTGAACTCGACATGATGAATAAGGCTTTTGTTATATGTCTGTATTGTGTGTAAATAAAGATTGGTCGGTAGCAGTGTATGTATGTTTGTGTTTATGGTTTCTGTTATATGTTTGTGTTGTTGTTGTGTATAAACAAGAGGTTACTGGGCGAAGGAAAAGTGCGTCACATGGATTGATTAGTTCCGTTTGGATTTGTGAGGATGCTTGGGGTTTTTCAAGGTAGAATCCTAGTAGATAGACACTAACTACTCGAATAAAGATGTACTATTACCCAGAAGTGGCCAATGACAAACTAGAATCACATGGATAGAGTTCAGGCGGTACGGCCAAGTCTAAGTCAATCTAACCACGGAAAGGTTAGATAGAGCTTCAAGCGAAGAGCTAAAACTCATCTAAGTCTAATTCTGGTAAGATTGGAAGCTTTACCGTATTATATAAATCGCACCGTAATCATTGTGGCATTTTCCCTAAAGAAATATAGGCATATACTATAAGCAAAATCACTTCTTATAAGTGCTTCTTGCCTGTATATAATCTAATTTATGAATAGATACAATTTTATGCCGTAATTTAAGTATTGATTTAAGAAAACCTTACAGTTTCTTCGGCTTTTCCTTCATGCAAAACTTCCGGACCGCCTTACTACTACTATCACCATTACTAATACCATCATTATCATCACTGTCATTATACTCGTCATCTATTTTCCTATACAAAGTATTGAGAGGGGGAGAAAATATAAAATTGTATAGTCTTAAAATATCTAGTAAGCCTTCATAAACCATATGATTCGGAACACTTCACAATTGTAGAAAAGTAGAAGGCTATTATGCATTTCAAAATTATCCTTCCATGTTGTTCAATCTGGCTTTGCAATGCAATAATACAGTGAGTGAATAACTTGATTGAAAGGGAAATTAATGTGAAATGATGATTCACTGATCATTGGTGAAATAGATAACTTCGGACTACGTCGCTATGTGCGTACGGTATTCTGGCTTCAGATGAGGCTGGCTTTACTTTCGAACAAATCAACCTTATGTATTCAGTTGTACAATAGCAACGATGGTACACGTTTTGTATATATTACTGTAAATCTGTATTTTTTGTGTAGTTTTGGTTCTAAATTATGCGTTGCCTGACTAACGGTACACCATATATTCAAATAGTACACTGATAGTAAGTGTCGACGATCCCTTAGGGGTCTTGAGCTTACAATGTTAACAGTTACCGGTATGTCATAACCTGAACCTTAGACTAGGATTAACCTGCTCTTTAGCTTCCCCCTAATTCCTAGTCTACATCAGGTGATCCTCGCTTATTTCAGGCCAAATATACTTACTCTATGCTGATTAATCACAGAATCCTTGTATCGCACAGCTACCCGAGGACGTAATTTGCATACAAGACTTGTGGGATTGCAACTTGCAAATAAGGGTATCGCTAGGAGACGTCGGATGGAAGACTGCAAGAATATTGCATACAATGAGATACCGTACGTATTTCATTATTCGCAATCATCCTAGTTTGGCGGAGATGTGAATCTTAATTTCCACTCAAATTTTACCTCGCACGTCGGATGAGAAGCTAAATCGTCGCAACGCTGCTACGATAAGTTCTCTGCATGATGGATGATAGCTTGACCGTCCACTAACCTGAGCATGGCACACAATCTTCGTATCTAGTAGTGTATCTGATATGAGTTCGGTCTTCCAGTATGTCGAGTGTGTGTTTGAGGAGGAAGATAATCTGATGCGGGGGCTGAAGCTGCGAAATAAGAAGAGAACAAACAGAAAGGCTTGCTACGGACACAAAGCCGATGGTAGAGGAGGGAACTCGAGACCTTGGAGAGGATGACGAAGAACACCATGACGACTCAAAACGTACTGGAGTACGAGGGTTGTGATTGTGGGTCTGAGTCCTGTGGGTATTATATGTGATATCAGAACATGTTTACTAAGATAGCAGGATCACTGACAGAACTACTAGCTATAGGCAGGAGCGGTGGAGTCGAGATCAGGGGCATCGCAGACAGGTTTCATGTGCTCCTATTGATATTTTGGATTATTTTGCCTGGCTGCATGTTATGTTGTCGACCACCAAATGATCTCAAACTGATAGGTCGGAGAATTTGGACTCTAGTCTCTGGCATCATACTTCAGTCCCTAGTGAGAATACTCGTCCAGAGCTGGACAAATCTTGGCTAAAACATACACAATGTCAGTAATTTCCTGTTGGGCTTGATGAGACAGTTTTTGGAAAGTAAACAAGCAGACTAATCAAATTGGAGGACCATTAATCTTGCCAGAGCATTGGGAGGAGAATGAGATCGAACGTATGGATGAAACTAAGACACCGAGACGAATTATCCCCTATTCACCCACGGGCGGTAATTGTTATTATCTCACTGACTCATCATATTTCATCCCACTATTATCCTAATCTAGTCATCAAATGTTCTAGTCTAAGAGCTTCCCGCCGCTTGGGGGCAACGGTGTTATATGCGGTAGGTGACATACATTATTAACAGGGTACTGTTACCCATACCTTCATAGGTTCATGCAGGTAGAAGATCTGCCATCCAATCTATGTGATAACAAAAATACTAGGAAAGCTCAGACTTTGGTCTAAATTGCAATGGGGCAGATCAACTCAAAGGGTTTGAATAAAATCACGTGATCCATATATATATTCCCCCGTCTGTAGATGTAGCCTGCTCCAATCCGAAGGAACAAGAATGGGGAAGAATCTGACATTGATAGTCCGTCTTCAGAGCGACTCGGAGGCCGTCAGAAATATATCGGTGGCTGAACATCCTTAATGAACAACCCCCTGTCTGGGCGACAATCGCGTCTGACCAAGTACTATCTTCAGCCGCAATCATGGATAAAAAGGAATGAAGTCGCAAAATCGAAATCGCAAATGAAAGCTCAAATTTCATATTAAGATGGCTCGCATCGCTGTCGAATTCGCAGATCCTCCTTCAGATCCTGAGATCGTCCCCAGTCCTCCACGCTTAAATGTAGAATTACCCTCCACATGCTGCTTCACTGAAGACAGCGACGGGACCATTACGAAAAACTTCTTCGCAACTCCAACAGAACTCGCAGCTCACTTGAGCCACCCCATACCGTTTCAAAAGACGAAAAAATTGTATGTTTTGGAAGGTTTGCCAATTGAATATGTGCAAGTCTTTGGTTTACATTTCAATGTAGATGCGGACATTTTTGATTCACATGCGATGAGAAGGAGTGGACAATTGAGTAAGCTCAAATTTCCAGCGAGACCAGGGAAGGAGAGGAATGTTCGAGCTTTCGCGTTAGACTACCCTGAGATTACCGGGAACATTATTCCACCACCACCCGGAGAGGACAAGGAAGGAGTGGTTGACGGCGATTTTATGATGCCTTGTAAGACAATAGAATTGCCTGGAGTCGAATATGGGAATGGAATAAGCGTGAGATTATGTCACATGACTTTGGTGTCTTTTCCCACAGAGGACGGAGGTGAAACCTGTAAAGTCAAGCTTTCCTTTCAACCTCTATACTTACTAATGATGTTGAAACGAAAGTACTATTACTTCTCGAGAATCCATTGTGGGCGAAACGAGAGGCTCAATTTCAGACAGCGAGTTACAATAGCTATGTCGCACATGCTCTTGGAAGTCTTCCAGAAGAAAAGCAACAATGGAAACCGTCCCGAAAACATGACCCGACTTTGACTTTTAAGGATCATATCTTGGATGCCATAGAATCACCGGGTGGCATATTATTTTGGGATGATCTCACAGAGGTTATTACTGATATCATACTCAGACAATGGAGATTCGTCTTGGGAGAGATCATCATGGGCGCATGTGTTTCCAGACTCGTGTATTACCAAGAGATTCATCAAATATGCGATTTGATCGAGTCCAATATATGGACTTTGGATCATGCGGAGGCTATCTGGAATCCTCGATTTGACAATAGGATGGAAGGATTTAAAGGGCTTTTGAAAAAGACAAAACGCTATAGGGAACAAGTTGTTTGGGGACAGTTAGTGGAGGAGGGACTTGAGACGAAGACTACAATTAAGGATAACAATGACGAGGACAACTATACCTCAACAGTTTCTTCGAAGTCGGGGGTGCATATTCGAGGAGGAGAGGTAGTAGATTTGGAAACCCGACAAAGCATCAACAGAGTTACCTACCTTGGTGGTGTTCTACTTCCTTTCTCCATAGTCGCAGCAATATTTTCGATGGGCGACAATTATCAGCCTGGCGGAGATCGATTCTTTATCTTTTGGGTCATTGCTATTCCAGTCTGCTTGTTTACGACCGCGCTGATATATGCGGATAGCATTCGACGAATGACGCTGGAGCAATTCGCTCAACAATACGGAGCTACTGCCGTAAATGGAGAGATTGATGATATGGGTGCCTCGTCGATTGCCGACAGTGAGATCATTTCATACAAAGCCGGTATTGGAAAGCGTCTTGCTTCACATATCCCAGGCCCTTGGAATCGACGCACAAGCCACGCAGTCTCATCTTCGAGCAGCAGCTATGGTGATGGTGATAGCGACGACGATTCAAGCTTTACGGGTAGTGCTGGATTACCTCCAGGTTTGTCTATAGACGGCGATTTATTAGTCCGCAAGAAAACGAAGACTGCGCCATGGAGTTGGCGATTTTGGAGGAAAACTGCGGGTCAAAATTCAGACCCGGAGAATATTCCATCATCTCCTACGCATTCAATTCACGATGTACCACCAGCTACGCCACCTCCGCCGCCGCGTGCGTCCAATCCTATCACACCCCCACCCCCACACACCCCATCCAAGCCAAGACCCGTAGAAGGTTACCCACCAGAATCTCCTCCAATCGCTGGTCCAGCTCCGCCAACAACCCCTTTAACAAGGTCCTCATCACCCATTACTGCTCCAACTATTCCCGATCCAACTTCTGACTTTGTCGGTCCACAGGACTCGCGTCCAGCTACACCGTCAATACATCCATCTATACCAGACCCTGCTGAGATACCGCTACCTCATTCACATGATTCTACCTCTGATGATTGGCGCGAACGAGACAGTTCTGAAATGATACGTCATGAACGTTCTACATCACCAGATCCTGCAAACTCAGATTATGCCACAGACCGCGAGCGCCATTCTTTGGAAAGACGCATGCGTGAAAACAACGACGAATGGGAGTCAACAAGAAAACCAAGAAGGGTCGGTACCGGAGATGACTATGACAAACAAATTATCGAGCGAAAGATCATCTATGACCGCCGTCGCCCCTCAGAGCATCAAATGGGCTCCGAGGAGAGAAAGCGACTTGCACTGGAAAGAACGAGCAGAAGTTCTAGTGAAGAACGAGAAAGAAAACGAGTCACAGAAGGTACCTTGGGGGATGACGATATCATTTCAGAAGATCGAGGAAGAAAACGCACGCGATCTGCACAGCGTGGCAGCCATGGAACATATTATAGCTATCCAAGAAGATCATCCCACGATGCGGATCCCACTGAGATACCACTTCCACCATCACCAAAAGAACTAACAGAGGAGGAACGCACTAGAGTGAAGCTAGAGAAAGAAAAACTCAAACAGCTTGAAAAGGCGAAAGAAGAAGATCGGCATAAGAATATGGCGGACGCAGCGGAGAAGGAAGCGTATGCCAAGAAGCGAGCAGAAGAAGAATACACAAAAAGAAAACTAGAAGAACAAGCCGCGGCACGTAGAGCCGCGAAGGGTAAAGATCGAGCCTACTCACCTGTGATATCCGATAGCAAGGGAATAAAACCAGCGATAAAGTTCAAGGATGCCGTGGGGCGAAAATTCACCTTTCCGTTTCATTTGGTGTCAACATGGGCTGTATGTCAACCTCATTTTCTTTGTATCTTCAAGAGCTTCTCATTGTTTCACCACACCAATAAGATTTCTCACTGACCCCAATAAATCTAGGGAATGGAAGATCTGGTGAAACAAGCCTTCCTTCACGTGGACGTCCTCGCCTTCCATGTAAAAGAAGGCCACTACGATCTTATTGGCCCCGGAGGCGAAATCATTCTTCCTCAAGTTTGGGATTCAGTTATTGAGCCCGGCTGGCTGATCACTATGCATATGTGGCCGATTCCTCCACCAGGACGTCCCAGTGGGACTCGACCGCCTCCACCGCCACCTGGATGGAGAGCAGGGACTGAAGGACCACCTCCCCCTTCCCCGCCACCTGGCTTTATGGAAGTCAGACCTGGTGGGCCGACAGGTAGACCTAATCCGAAAGCGATGAAGTCGGCACCTGCAAGACACGGAACTCCTGACTGGATGACCGGACCACCCACCTCGAAATCCCGCAAGAAGCAAAAGTCAGGGCCAACTCGACTTGGACCTCCTCCACTAAGTTCATTTCCCGGAGATCCAGTGCCGACTGATGATGTTGGCGTAATACAAGATCTGCCAAGTAGGATTCACAGAAGACAGCCAGGTATGAGCGAAAGGCATAGACATGGAACAAGTGGTGGTGTAACCATTGGAGGAGCGGCAAAACCAAATCAAGAGTTGGGGTGGGTGAGGGCGCTGGGAACAATTGTTGGTGTGAAACCAGTCATACAGGTGAAGAAACGGAATGGGGGAAGTAGTTCAAGTTCGAGTGTGATGGATGATTGATCGATTGAGTGATTGTAAATTGATTGGGAAATGTCATTTCGGGACCACACTCCCGAATATGTGAGCAGCAAAAACTTCAAACGAATTAACAAGTACTTACACTTGCAAGTGTTTGTGAAAAAAGAGAATTGTTGAAGGGGATGTCGGCTAAAAGGATAATGAGTGCATGAATTTATTCTATGTACAGACTCTTCTACTATACATTCTTTATCTCCGAATCTTGTAGCATTTTGTTTCGTATTGAGTATTACATTGGAGGCGGTTGTTGTGTAGTTGGGGTACCAGTGTCGCGCGTGAAATATGTCCACTGTCCCTCGACGGGCTTCTCCTCGAGATCTTCCCATCTACATTTTCCCGTTAGTCAGGGTTCATGAAGTCAAAACATATGTTGACTTACACTTTCGCCTTCAATAAGATATCAGTAAGGGTCAATTCGCCCTCTGCGACTTGAATGACCTCCTCAATTAATCCGGCACCAATCTTATTCTCGATCTCCTCGACTCTACCATTGTGTATTAGTACATTAATCTCATGAGCTCAACCCGGAGACCTAAACTCACTGATCAACATTCAGCGCAGGCTCTTCGTCCCATTCTATTTGTTTCTCATCCTCACCAGGCCTTTCCATTGCCAAAACGATTTGTCCCTTCCTCTCTTGTGTCGTCCTCACACCCTCCAACTCCGCACGACTATCTTCTCCATCCCACTCCTCCCTACTCCAATCCACCTCCTTATCAATTTTAGTTTGCACAAAAACCTTCCCCCCGACAGTCTTTTTAACATATCTCCCCCCATCAAAATGCACGCCACCTTCTGGGGTAGAGAAAACCTCTGGATGCTCAGTCATAGTTTTTTTCGCTTTCGCTGACCATTCTTCGTATCCAACTGGCACAACAGCTTGTACAATATTGAGACGGTGATTGATAAGAGCCTCTGTAGATTGGCGATATAGGGAAGTGGAGGGGAACTGTTGTAGCTTGTCGAGAGTAGATGAGTAGAGGTAGAGTAGGGCGGAGCGGGGGGAGTGATGGGTTCCGAGGCCAGTGAGACCAGTTGGGGTATTGGGCTCGAGATACCTGACAGGCTTAATGGCTGCAAATTGCCGTAATGTGCGACGCATGGTGGGCAAAGTTGTCAATGGGTGGTAGAGTTGTCGTTATGTCGAAATATATCGTGACGTTCTGGGAATCTTGAGCTTTGGAGCTTTGGCAAGTCTTGGCGGAGAGTCTTGGTGGGTGGATTCAAGGTTTTAGAAATTCATGAGATTTAATTGGTGGATAGCGCCAATCATATATATTTGTGGCTGTGCTATACTCAAGTAGATCAAACTTTTTGGCTATGATGGATCTGAATGCTTGATAGATGGTAACGTTCAGACTTCAGACTTCAGACTCATGTCTAGACAATAAATACTTTCAAATTCCCTTGTTCATCATACATATCTATCTGGGTATCTCTCTTCTCTCTTCTTCATAAAACAAACCTTCTCGTTCCAGCTCATACACCACATACTACACCACTCTTGGGATAAAGTACTTCGTACTTCTTCACACCATTCATATGTATTTCCAGCAAGAAATCTTCTCAATCATCCGACTTCATACCATTCATATGTATTTCCGGCAAGAAATCTTTTCAAACATCCGATTTGAGCTTTCGCTATGTTACTATGAAAGCCATGCGCCATATTGTACAAGGATCGTTGTATACGACGAACATCTGCAATAACCTAGAACGCCTCGCTCATATTAATCATTTCTCAATGCGAACAAACACCTATCACCGAATTAAGGCAAGTGCATCATCTCTTCCTCTTGCTTTTTCGGGTAGAGGATTGTGCCCTAGTTTTCTTTGTATCCACCCTCCTTGGTCTCGTCGGTGTCCCATCAATACTCTCTTCATTCTGATCCTCTTCCCTTTCCTGGTCGTCCTCGACTCCATCCTCCTCGGTTGCGACGGTTGCGATACTCTGTTGTCTCGAATTCGATCCCGCTTTCGCCTTTCCCGCAGCTCTAATAGCACTTCTTCCGGCTCTGGTAGATCTCGGCGGTGAACTGTGCGTGGGAGGCGAAGTTCTCGTTTCCGCAGTATCAACGGTGCTTCCTCTCTCCTTTCCCCTCTTCCTCTTTTTAGTTGTTCCCTGAATCTCCGGCTCCGGCGAATCTTTTGGCTCTGAAGTTTCCATTAACCTTGGAGGGGATGACGGCGCTTCACTTATTTCTTTAGCAGTCCGCTTCCCTCGCATGAAACACATTTCTCCATACACATCGTCGGGTAATGTAAATTCAGGAAACCGGTCTTCCGTATCATCTTCGTAGTCAAACGAATTCTCGCGGTCGTCAATTACATCTAAATTGTAACAAGTTCGTAACTTCTTCCATATGCCAGGTATCCGAGTATGCTGATCGACGCGAGGATCGTAACCGTGGTTTCGTAGATGTTCTGAAAGTGCAATCATACGGAAGTGTTTGTGCATGCCTAGATCCAATTTGTCAATTCCTTTCTGATCTGTTCAATAATCTGTTCGCGATCAAAAGGTATCTCACCGGCTGGTTTCCACTTAACGATACCTTTGAATAGTGAGGTTTCTTGTTCATCCGTCCATGGGTCTTTCAAGATATCATAGCTCGGTTTTGGCAGTTCGGCCTTTTGGGGAGTATCAATTGCCATGGTATCTTGGTCTTCCGCGGGATTCGAAGCACCTCGTGTGCTTCCTTTCTTTCTTTTGGCCATTTTGGTGGTACCACGTTCCGGCCAGAATTCGTTATCAACAAATGTCGAATTGAAGAGTAACATCAAATACACCCGAGCTTGCCCAGCCTTACCATCAGCCTTTTGTTATATATGCGCTAGCGGCCGTCTAAGCTACAGAAGGCGCGATAAGGCGCGTCCATTTCAATCCACGTCAGCACAATATTTTTATTGAAATGCAAAAATGGAAGATGAAAGAGATCCCGGAGATGTGTTTGCTATACCAGACCTATGGGGTCTCTCTAAATGTGTTGATGATTTGGCGCAACCAAACAGTCTCTTCTCAGACCTAAGACTCGCTGGTTCGTTTCATGGATTAAGTTGGAGGACGGAGATATACTGAAGCTAATCAGTTACAGACATTGACTACAAATTACCAGACGTCGCAGAGCAGTGTCAAACTGATGATCTGTTTTTCGGTATACCAGAGCTACCCCTTGGTCTAGCAGAGCCACCTATCCCAACTCCTTCTCAATCCGACGAGAAATCTGGCGATACATCTTGCAACGAACCAGCGGGGCAAGAGGAAGATGGCGATTTCGACTTTTGGATAACACAGGAGCAAGAGCCTTTACAAGAACCAGTGAACTACCAATCCTGGGATGCCTTCACCATTGAATCTTTTCATGAACCTCAAACAGCATATATGACCGAAGCTGGACCTCGAGTGTTTGATACGGCCTTAGCTGCCAGGGAGGATTTCCTAAAAGTTGGGAACACTCACCATGATGTCATAGACTCAAAAATACTCGCTACATCTGTGCTCGCATTGGGATTAGGCAGAAATTCTATTTTTTTCGCTTGGGATATAGAGAAACGTACTTTTGCCCCAACTCTTCAGAAATTCAGGGTCTCTGGCCACACTACCCAATCTCTCAAGGGCTTCTTGGCTCCATTCTATGACTGCGGGAATATTACTAAATTCCTACAAGATTTTGTCGGAAAGACCTACTCATCAAATAAGTCACCAGGTCGAATTGCCTTGGCTGAATCCGTCTCAACTGTTCTTGCAACAATCCAGTCACAGCTAAATGTAAGCACGTCTGATTATGAAAGTATTCTACAACTGCAAGCAATATTTCAGCCTGCTCACTCGCTTCTTACATGCTTTAAACGATTGGTGACAAAAACTTTGCCCAAAAAGAGCGATGAAGCAATACTGTCGACACTATTCGAAGAGATTCAGCTTCTAGAACATAGGACAGACTCCCTCAGAGACATTCTTCTCGAGATACTCTCGAGGGCGTCAACACCTTGGCTCGAGTTCACCTGTGAATGGCTTGGACTTCAAAGAGAGGTTGGCTTACCGCTGACCAAGGAGGGTCCTGGCAAGAGTTTTGTGAAGGTTGATAATAAAGAGTGGGTGAATGAAGCTGGTCTTGAACTGAATGAACTCGACTTTGCATTAGACCATGAAAAAATCCCCTCATTCATACCACTTGAAGATGCCCGAGCAATGTTTGAAGTGGGTAGGAGCCTTCGAATTTTACGGACTCACCATAAGGATCACCCTTTGTCAAGAATGAATGTGGTGGAATCCGTTGCACCTCCAATCCTCGAATGGAGGTATTCTTGGCATGATATCCTGGACGTAGAAACTAAAGCTTTGAAATACGAACAAGATTTGACCGATGCACTGCGGACCTTCTCTGAATCCAACTCAGCGGCGACAGTTACAGCGCCCGACTCTCGATATGAGCTCCACAATTGCGATCTGGACTTCTTCGGCAAACCCGAAGAAGAGATGCAAACGCATGTTATAGCTTCTATCAACCAGCTGAATTCTAAACTACAGGAGCCACTCGCTCCAATCAAACTGAAGCAACTTCTACAGGCCTGTCTATTATCAACTCCAGACTCTTCACGGGACGATGACTCAATATTTTCTCCGCCCATCTCGTTGGCCCCTCTACTCTCATTCAACCCAATCATTTCTGCGCAAGCTCGAGTGGTCAATAGCATCTGTATGCAGCTATTTTTCAAGTCTCACAATTTACGAGATCATCTTTCCTTGCAAAGAGACTTTCATTTGTTAGGTAATGGTGTCTTCTCAAGTCGACTTTCTCATGCACTATTTGACCCAGAATTGGAGAGCGCCGAAAGACATAAAGGGGTGGCTCTATCCGGCGGATCTATGGGCTTACGACTTGGCGGTAGAGATACATGGCCACCAGCGAGCTCTGAACTAAGACTTGCCTTGATGGGTGTTCTCGCAGAAAGTTATACATCAAATCATCCTTTGGATCTCTCTCGGGCGGGGAGATACCTCGAGCGTCAAGGATCTCTCCCAGGAGATTTAAGTTTTGCTGTTCGCGATATGTCCGAAGAGGAAATCGAAAAATGTAAGGACCCTAACTCCATTGAGGCCCTGGATTTTCTACGACTCTCTTACAAACCCCCAGCGCCATTGGAATCTGTCTTGACTCCCGTTGTCCTCTATAAATACGATCAGCTTTTCAAACAGCTACTTCGCGCTCTCAGGATGCTCTATGTTGTCTCGGCACTTTTCCGCGACGTTACAGATAGAAAATCATCTTGGCAAAATATTGATCCCTCTGCACAGAAATTCCGCATCGAGGCTCATCATTTCGTCTCTTCTGTTTGTGGGTATTTTTTCGATACCGGAATCGCATCAACGTGGCGTATTTTCGAGAGAAAATTAGATGAAATTGAAGAATGCATGGACTCGGACAAGTTTTCGCTTGGCCAAAACGAGGGGTTGGATAAGCTCAGAGACTACCATGAGCGTGTACTTGATAAGATGTTGTTTGCGTTGTTGCTGAGAAAGAGACAAAAACCTGTCATGCAACTGTTAGAAGAAATCTTTGGCATAATTCTGCAATTTTCGAAACACTCAAGGGAAAGAGCTTTGGGGACTAAGGGAGGTGCGGGGGATGCATTAGATGATCAAGATATCAGAGCGATGTATCTAAGGTTTGGGAAGAGGGTAGGAGTATTTATCACGGTTTGTCGAGGATTGAGTGAAAAGAAGGGGTATGGTGAGAAGACTTTCGATACCCAGGCAGGAAACGGAGGCTTGTTTGCCGCTGCGGAGTTAGCGGAAGAAAATACTGTTGGGCAATTGGTGTTACGGTTAGAAATGTCGGAATATTATTTGAGGGAAATATGACCCTCTGAGGTGAGGAATACGAATGACAATTCTAGCAATGGTCTGCATCCACTTTGAGTGATAGCATGATCGCACCATGCCCAATTATGCGATTAAGAAATATCCGGAGATGAATTACCAGATGAAATATTCTAGTGTTTAAATTCTGCCCTGCGATTTGAAAGTTTTTACAGATTTTACACTGAACTAGCCAGTTCTAGTGGTAACCCAAGTGGCCCAGAGCGACAATTGGAGGAAGTGTTCCTTTTATGCGCAATTTAATGCTCCATCTAGGAGGCCGTAGCGAGAAAATGGCCATTGCTGTTCGTGCCCAGCAGCAATCTATCTTACAATCTTATAAGCTCAGTATTTCCGGTGATGTCGTCGTCGTCTTCGGACTCAGTCTTCAAGGCTGAAGATACAGACGTAGAATGACCCAAACCTTTCCAAGTTCGAGCAATTGGTGGTGTATTGCATTTATGCCAGAAGGCCTCAACGGTGGGTCGGGCATTGGTGTCATTATGAGTATGTGTGATGCTGAGATAGAAAATTACAATCAAGAAAGGGGGTATCACGGTCGACTTGCGATGTTCTGGTTGGGATGATGACTCGATCTATCGATAGGATCAATCTGTCCATATTCCATTCAATTAATGCAGGAGCAGTTTCCCATGGATTTCGTGTCCGGTTTCAGTGAGAAGCTGATATAATATAATATGCAAATTGGCAACTGCATTGCACTCCAACCTTTGGCGAGCTGGAAGTTTAGAAAGAAATTGTTTGATTAAACACGATCATACGAGTAGATGGTTCTTCCAGTGAAAGCTACGCTCTCAGATGAAAGCACAATAGTTGTGCGATGTGCTGCTACCTCTAGACTAGACCGATTTTATCTACTCATAATGAATGATTTTATCTAAAAGGCAGTAAATAACCCACAACTTCATAAGTATTCAATATCACAGTTAGCCATTTTATCCGACATTCTCGAACTTCAAACGATGCAGAGCTGAGGATTAGGCTATCAATCACGCATGTACTCCGGTATAAAGATATGCGTCACGCTTAAAAAAAGGATTAGCATTGGGGATTCGCTAGAGGGGAAAAATGAATAGACAAAAAGCCTTACAATTATATGGCTATGCCTGGACTGCTCTTCTGGTGAAGTGGAGCTGAATTTATCTAGCTTGAGTCGAGTCTATGTACGTGACGGATGAAGTCACTCAATTTTATTGGCCATATGTAAACAGTATTTTCTCAAGAGCAGTTAGTTGATCGTTCGTACCTTAGAAATCAGCTTCTCATCGATATGTCATATGAGGTTCCAGGTAGAATAGGAATTTGACCCTATCTACCAACTTTACACATGCGAGTTCTACCTAGTTATTCCTTATCAACTACCTCAATGAGTCAATGAGCTTTCCAAAGGCTTTTCTTCTTGTTTCATATAGAAAGCATAAATGATCTGAAGGTGAGGAGTCATTGTTGAATTTAGTAATTTCCATGTTCATAACGTCTGCTCTTAAGATACAAAAACTCACAGTCCTACAGCCAGTTCCTTGATGACGGCTTGGATTGAAAGCACACACAGAATTACACTCGAAATTTCCAACATCATCGTCAATTAGATTGTGTAAACCCAAACCACTGGCAAAAGAGAAAATTGAGCAGCTCATGAAAGACGATTTTCGAGAAGATGCGCATCTTTTCAAAATCTCTGCTCGCCAGCCCCTCGATTTTGACCTCACGGCGGGGTGCGTTTCAAGGACACGTATGCCGTTGAAACAGCTGCTTGCGTCACAAAATGGTTCACTCTATCCAGAGTTGCAACTTCGGATCAAATGGAATGTGTGGTGGCTCGGCGAAAAATAAGACATAGCTTGCGAAAAACTATTCTATAATGTAATATACTTCTGAAAGGAACTCTACTCCACGCACCTAGACTATTAGAACGCCTAAAACATTTATCCTTTCCTCATCCCAATACAATGCCTACCTCAACAACTCAAATACTAATATCACATCACATCACGAATAAGAAGATCACTTGTATTCCCAAAGAACACAAAATACTCATTACACTCAAATCTAGTCAAGCTATGCCAGATATCTAAAAAGGTAGAAGTCATGAATATAAATACAAATAGCTCCTGCAATGTTCTAAAGACGATTGCTCGCTTAAAGCAACTGAAAAGAAATTGCCAAGTGGCTCTCATGATATAGCTCTATGCCATACATTGAGATAGTTTTGAAACGCTTGCATCCTATGCATCGATTGTAAAATAGCTCATTTGAGCTTGGAGTCATGAGCCATTATTAACGCCGTAATACTCCATTTCCCTAAACCCCCTAGTTTGTTCATGTAATTGGACTTTGCATACTCCCCAAATAGTCCTGTCCAGCCATATGTCATTGGCACCTTGCTTTATGTCTAGCAGTTGCCATCCCCCTTGTCATCCATCCATCCATCACTATCTCGGAGCTGGCGTATATGGTTTATATCCTGGATATGCCGGTTTCTCCGGCTCTGGAGTATAAGGTTTATATCCCGGATACGCTGACGTTTCTTGCTGCTGTGGAGGACCTCTCGTCATGTTTCTCTGTGTACCCTGGTCGTAATCATCCTGTCCTGGTCCATACATAGACTGTTGTTGTGGTGCAGGTGAACGATTGTTAAATCCTCTTTGCTGCAGTCCACCATAATTTTCATTTTGCGGACCCGGTGACATCATTCTATTCGGTCCATTTGGTCCAGGTCCTCTGGAAGGCATGCGTGGGGGAGGATATGTGCCAACGTTAGTGGAATTGTCTGATTGATATGGTTGATACGACTGATCGGTGTTGTTGGTATATGACCTTCCAGGGTTCAATGGTCTCGAGGAGTCATTGGAGAATTGACGTGATGGTTGTGATGGGTATGGTCGATTATCATGAATTGGTTCTGCTTGACCGTATCCCGAGACAGGCGCGTCATTGAAGCCACCATTGGAAGGAAATTCTTGTGGCATGGCTGGTTTGAAATCTTGATTTCGAGGTGATCCACCATATCCTCTGCTTGGTGCTGGAGATGGTCCACCTCTAAATTGCCCAGGTCCACGATTCATTCCCGGTCCTGGAGATGGTGTACCACGGTATCCTCGGCCACCTGGCGGAGGTGTTCCTCTATATCCCATGCCTGCTTCTCCGATTGCCATTGCTGATGCGGGTCCAGGTGCGCCTCTGTATCCTATGCCTTCTAATTGAGTTGGAGGTGGTGTTCCTCTATACCCAATGAGCGGATCGTTGGCCATTCCAGCATTTGGTAGTCCACCTGATCCAAATCCTCTACCATTTCCTACTAGATTGTTCTGATTTTGATTATAAGGATCCTGAGCTTTCATGAAACCATTGTTTATACCCTGACCTTGTCTTCCATAAGGACTTTCTCCTTGTCCGATCGCTGGACTGTTGGGATGACTATTGGCAACACCTCCGGTCATCAACGGCATCTTCTGTCCCGTGACGGGATCCAACTCTCCCAATTCCATACCCATGCCATGTTTCTCATCATCGTTAACGTGTACTTTGCTCGCATTATCCCATGTCGGCATAGGCGGTAATGCGTCTTCCGAAAGTGTCTTCGATGGATCGACCGCGAAACCATTTTTTCCTACTTCGAATTGTGCATACTTTGGTGGTTCAGGTCTCGCAGGCAGAGCACCACCCATCATGGGAGCTGGAGCTTGGTAGCCTTGATTTGGATTTGGAGGAGGGTAATCGTCGAGATGTTTGTGAGGGCGATCTTTTTTACCATCGCAACAACCACCACAACAATCGCAACATTTAAGGAAAGAAAAGCAGGTGCAACAACAGGACATGCCACAGCAAGCACATCGTATTACACACCAAAGTATGGAAAAAACGAACAAGCCGCCGACTATAATTACTGCTATGACAGGCCATCTGGAAGTAGAGATTAGTTTGAGTTTGATGCTGGAGTAGGAGAAAAAATAAATCAAGGAGAAGGGACGACAAACTTGCAATATGTAGCTTCCATACAATTTGACCATGAACTAAATGATTCCTTCACACTTGAAACTTCTCCAGTAATGGTTCTTTTCTTAAGAAAACTATCCACCAGTATCTCTCCAACTCCCCTCCTCCTACTCCATTCCATTGCTGTTGTAATATGTGGCATTGTAAAATATGATGTTGGTATAAACCGATCTTGGAAATCGGAAAGAGCCTTTGATGGATTCTTTAGACTTGATTGTTGACTAAGGTGTGTGAAGACTCAAGCAGTCCCTGGAAGGCAAAAGTTGTCAATGATTAATAGTTCCAGTGATTTGTTGATCCTCATTTGTATGATTCTTGCTACTGTCTTTTTCTTCCAAAGCAGTTCCTCGAGTTTGCCTACTTCATGGTCCACCCTCCAACTGCCAAGCAAGTATGATTGCAGTGTTTTTGTATCCTCTCAGTCAATTGTTGATCCAGGTGTACTATCAATCTGCCGTGAATTCTTTCTCTCAAGTATTTCCAATTCACTCTTTCAATCAGTCTTGTTTTTTCGAAGTTGTTGATCAGTCACAAACAATTAAAGATTGAAAAGGGATGTAAGAATTCCCAAAGGAAGGATTTGAGTTGAGTTCTTCCTTCTACTGAAACGAAAGTGGACAAGACCTTGATGATCTTGGTGTATTACAGTGAGGCAGTGTTAATTTCAGTGAAATTGTGGTTGTTGGAGGTCAAATCATAGCAGCCAGTGTTACTCAGTATGAAGTCCGAGCTTTCCTTAGGTTGTTCCACTCATTCTTCTAAATCTGAACCACCCTTATTTATTCATTATGATATTTATATTTATATTTATATATTATCTTTTCCTCTAAATTCTTTATATTCAATTACTTTTCCTTAACCATTAGTAGTCCACTAATCCCCAATCCTCTAACAAGATCTTCAATCAATAAATCAAAATGAAACAAACCGGGAATTGAATTTATGCCCACTTTACTCTTTAGCGCTCCACTCCAACTTACACTAATGTCAGGGGCCCTTTCCGAACCTCGAGCCATATATTGCATTAGCGCATGTAAACGGGTTGTATTATCACGTGTAATGCTAGGTTGACAGCAAGATCAAATTCGATTCTTCGAGTAAAAGAGTTGGTTGGTGAAATACTCAGTCACTCTCATCTTGTTAAGGTCATGAGAAAGTAGGTATTTCATTGGCCTTTGCTACCGTGGTTGAAAACAGTCTATAAACATGGCGAAGTTAGGCAGACAGAAGCAAGCCTTGATGATGGAACATTCCGAGCCGACAACATTACTTGGCGGTATTTCATACTTTGAGACTCGGAGTGATGTGGTGATACAAGGCTTAGAGGCCTGTCTTGCGGTTGTGGAAATACTCCCTCCTGTTGTATTCGTCGCTTTTGGCTGGAACACCACCTTGACAAGGCAGCAGGCTCAAGGCAAGCTATGTCTCATTTTCATGCACTTTTCTTCGGTTTCGAAGCCGAATGTTCTCAGGAACTAACCAATATCCATGTGCAGGTGATATCGTGATATCACCAAGTGGTGATGCGTGCCAATGCTTTCGGGTGGCTTAGATAGGATTGCAATACCGATTTCGTTCAAAGTTTGAACGATCAAAGTTCATGATGTGACAAACTTCGGTAGTGTGGCTCGCCTCCTGAAGATTCACCCTCAGCCGAATCGTCCCCCGGGATGACCATTTCACCGATTTGTCCGGGGGGTAAGCACCCTCCTCATTCACATTCTTATTCCTCGCGCACTTTAACAATACATCGGCACTTTTGTAATGTTTCAATCGAAGTTTCTCCTGTTCTCGCAAGCCATGGCGAGTACTCTGGGCTCGACTTGGTTTGTAATTACCAGTAACCAGTTGCATGTTTGCCAAGACTCCAAGAGCACACTTGTTCTCCGCAGCCAAGCATCTTCTAATTCGGAAATATGCCTTTAATTCATTGGAATATAGTGCTTTGGTTGCTACTCATACGTATTGGAGGAGGAACTCTTTCACAACTCTACTCTCCCTCTCCTTATTCTATCCACCTCATCTCACCTCACCTTGTGGGACTAAGAAAATTCTACACAAGGCCCAGATGACTGTAGTCTCAGAGGATTGGTGGTTCACGTCCTTAGACATGGACTTACTCCTAAGCATTTGAAGGCAATATTGATACTGGAATTCGAAAGCAGTCTATCAACTCTATCTAAATTGATTTGATATTCTTGCATTACGTCTCTGGATTAGCATTTACAGCATTTTTCAAATTATCTTCATCTGCGTACTCATTAGTTATACTAAAGTTATTTTCCCTCTCGTAGTTTGTTCTGGTAGCTTATCGGAAGTTTAAAAGGTTGAGCCTTTTCGTTATTCCTGATTGTCTTAAAGTATGTATTTACGATATATTGGTAGTAAGATCTGGATAAATGCGTATGTGTACTCGGTGGAGACCATTGGAACGAGATCCAGGATCAAGAACGTTCTTAATTAGCAGCCAGTCCATGTTTCTTTCTAAATAAAAGAGTGTATTTCTTGTTTTTTCCCCTTGGATATTTACTTTTCTAAGCCCCACTTTTCTATCGACGACGACGACGACGACGACGACGACAACAACAACAACAACACCGCAACAACAACCGCCCTCAACCAATCTGTGAATCAAAATAAAAAAATAAAAAATGCAAAAAGACAGTTCACTGGCAAGCTCAGCTATATCTGCCCCAGGTGTGCAATTCCTCCCCGAATGGAGGATTGGAGAGCCCGGTCGCATTTTGACATTGGAGGCACTACTGCAGTGCGCCACTTTGCCCACACGGCTAAGTGGTCTTTCCCTAGTGGGTTAGTATGGCGTAATAACGATACTCTGATATATATAGCAGGTGAATGTGAGGTTTATGAAGGTGAGTACTGGGGCTTCATCGGTGTAGTCACATGTCGCATGATGATATACCCATATACTCAATACTTGTTGTAGATAAAAGTTAAAATTGGTGGATGTATAATTTGTGGTTCTTTTGACTCACTCCAAACACACAGGGAAGTAGATCGACAACCATTCCTGACGAGACCGAAATTGGAATCTGGTTGGATAGACTTATATAAAGTCAAGATGTGTATAAATTCGCACCGTTGATCATGGAGTAAACTGAGTCTTTGACTGAGTAGACTAATATACTTGAGTGTTTCCTCATATTATACCTATGCTATTAGAATTCTTCTAATAGAGATATCAGTATTATACGTTTACTCATCCTTGTGAGGCTAGGGACCGGGAAAGATTGATCTTGATAGTATTCCAGTGATCTCACGAGATCTAACATTCCCATTTCATATCTGCTCGTCTCAATTCAATGATCCCGAACAGCTTTTACGACCTCCCGCCTTTCATGAACTTGACTTAGGGTTGAACTTGGTAACTTTCGTGAGTCTTTCATACTAATCATCTGTCCTCAGCTCCATAAGTCGGAGAGCTTGTATATATCAAATTGGCTGAATGGTTTAAATTATACTCCTCCAATATACAATATTCACCTCCACCGCTCGTCTTATCTGTTAAGTTGCCACTCTCGAATTTCATTACGTCCAATTTTTTTCTCTTTTACCCCATAACCATCTATTCTCCTCGGTGCCACACCCTCTTCATCCACATCCCTTTCTCTCCTCTGTCCTCCGCCCAACTTCTCCAGCTCCTAATACCCAATACCCTGCCGATTTTGATTGTAGTTCACAATATCCACGACACTTTCTTATCCAACTACTGTACATCTTTGCTCTTCAAAGCAAGTTAAATGTTTTGATGCATATCCTAAAACCCTTTGGGGCCTGGATTCCGTACAGGAAAGATCTGTGATTTGGAGTAGATCTTTTGATATAGAGCAAAGCCTTTCAAAAATTTGAAAGATTTGGGTGGAAAACAGTGCTGCATATCTATCTGCTTTAGGAAGCTTCTTTTCAAGCTTGATGATCTGTACAGGTTCACATGTGTGATTTTGAGAACCTTTTGATTCGGTTTCCAGATATGCAATACAACTATTCATACTTTAACACTTACGGGAAGAAGGCTAATTGATATTCGAAATCAATCCAGTTTTTGTTGCATATTTGATCCAATTTGGAGGGGGGAGAGTGGAGGGGGGGGGCTAAAGCCTGTACCGGAGAAAAAGTCCAGTTCAGACTCCCCCTTCAGAGATACACTAAAACCTCCCATATCTTTGATATCCCAAGACCAAGACAGACTGGGTATCAAAATCAATCAAATTAAAAGGTTTGTTGCATATCTGATCCTTGAATACTCAATTTCTGTTCTTAAACCCGTACGGGGATACTTGAGTATTTGCCTCATTTCCCACAGATTTCAAGATATGCAACAATAAGTTGGAGATTTTGAGCGTCGAAGGAAGAAGTTGATTGGTTGGATTTGTTGTAGCTGAGAAACAGGGATAGGATGGAAAGGTACGGAATGAGGGGAGACATGAGAAATGAAAAGGCACAATGGAGGAGGAATATGGAGACAGTGAAACAGGAAAAAGTGGGAGGAAACGAGAGGGATTGCGTTTAGGAATAGGGGATGTGATCAGGTTAAATTGATACTGTATGTGAATATGAATGCGAGATTTCGATGTTTGTGCCTTTGCTTTGGTACACAATCACTAGTAGTAGAGTTGAATATGACTTGGAAGAATGTATGATTTGTATCGAAATTCAAAGCTTGGTATTTTCTGGTTGGTGGCGCAGTATATATTTAAAAGGCGTTAGAATCCATCGACTTGAATAAAACGTTTGGAATGGCATAGGAAGTCAACTCGAGAGTGGTACTGCCGTTTTATGCCGTGCTATGAAATCATTAGCACAAGATAACACGTCCGCGGACTGTATATGGTGGATTAAGAACTAAGTGTCACGAGGAAGATGCAGTAAATAGTTCATCAATCAGAGATAATGTACCATACATTCTAACACGGAAAGTCGCGCGTTTCTATCCCTATCCCCAATACCTACCTCCTCCCACCCCCCCACCAAACCTCTACTTGAATTATCCATTGACTCATTACCATTCATAGCGAAAACTTCAAATTTGCAGGACCCACCCCAAACTCCTTTGTTGATCGCCCAAACCCCGCCCCGGACCAGATCGACGTCAATATCTTCAACCATTCCTATCGTTCGTGTACCAACTAATTGTCCATTATGTGACCGCATCAATTGGGTTCGTAGCAAGCCGCATAGTCCTCATCAAGCACCTCCCTCATTCTCGTGCAACCAAAGCCCCACAACCCCAGACCCACATCTCCTAGACCCTCAAACCAATCCACGACCTACGACTTCCATCTATTCGGCATTTATCGAATAATTCCATCCCCCTCAACTTTCTTACCAGGTGGTGGACCCACGGGCGCCTGGTAGACATCATCTCCACCTCTCGTGTAAGCATTTGCTGGCTGCTGCAGCTCGATTCCATCTTGTTGACCATGATGACCATAGTATCCATCATTGCTGTTGAACGTGTTACCCGTTTGTTGCGGTGGTATTGGTCCATTTTGGGTATACAATGGAGGTGGGGGTCCGTAATTGTAAGCTCCGGGTTGGTTGTAGTGACCATATGGAGGGGGTTTTGCCATCCAACCAGTGCCGTACATAGGCTGAACACCTTGACGTCGACGGCGGCGAGAGTTGATACATCTAGTGAGATGTGTTAGTGGTTTTGAACTTTGAATGTTGGGATGCGACTTTAAAATATCAAGCACATAAGCAAGCTTACGAGGCGAACCTGCAAAGTCGTGCGAGTGAACCATATTAGGAATGAGAATAAACATACGATAATCCAAAAGCCAGCAAAACAAAACCAGCGATTATGAGGACTAGTACAACCCATCGTCCCCAATTGCCCCACGTCGAATAACAGTTTCCATAGTAATCGCAGCTGTAAACCATTTTGTTAGTTGTTTGATTTCGTTGTTGCTATCGCCAGAATTCCTTGATGAATTTGAAATGAGTTGGATAAGTTTGACTTGAATCTTGGATATCGCTCGATATATGATGATACGAAGATTTCCACAGTCGTTGGATGTTGATGGGAAGAGAAGTTATTATCACAGATGTTGTTCTTGTTTCTGATGTTCACGGCTCACATCCAACAACAAAGAAAGCTGGAGGTTGGGCAATAGATTTGACTCACTTATCATTATTATTGAAATCGTTGTTGTTCTGCCTCTTGGCAATCACCTGCACCAACACAGCCATGATTTTGTAATATCAAATGTGGAAATTTAAGTATGTGTTACAAGGAAGAGGTTTAAGGTTTTGTTTTCTTTTGGTATGATTGAAATGAAATCCTTATCGTTGAATGGGACAACGACGAACTTGTTGGCTTTTGCGGGGTAAGAGGAAGAAGGACTTGTGAGGTTAAGGTTGAGGTTGAGGTTGAGGTTGATGTTGATGTTGATGGTTGTGAATGGAATCAAAGTTGTGATGAAGGGGGAGAGTAAGAAAGAGTAAGAGAGAGGGAGAGAGAGAAAGAGAGGAAGAAAGAAAGTAGTTGATATGTAAGGAAGGTAAGGAACCGAGTATTCCTTGGAGTAATATCTGAGGCTGTGTAGAAAAGGGAAATCGGATAATTCGGATACATATTCAGTAATTTTTGATTAGTTGTGTGGCCGTGAATGAAAAATCATTCCCAGATGATGAGAAAGCCTTACTTACCTACGAGTACTTACCTAGGTGCTTACTTGTAGAATATAAAAGTACCAGGTATGAAAGTAATCCTTTCCAATATATCCATCCGTTCATCTTATTCGACTTCGACTTGTTCATCTCTTTCTCTCATAATAATCCTTTCCTTCACCATCACCCCGCTCACCCGCTCACCCGCTCACCCACCACTAATCTTTCTTGTGAATCATTTGCTCCCTCTCCTCCCTCTCCGCCACAATATCAAGTTATCAAGCCTTGGCCTTTATCTTTGGTCTCAAGGATATATTTTTCTTCAATCACACCCCCTTCTCGCCAATTAATCCAATGAAAGGTTCGGAACACATAAGAATTCCTGCAAGCCATGGGAATCCATGTTGCCCGGTGCCAACGCATCAAATGTGTGTGGACTGTGCTTTTTTATTTCTAAGGGCTGCCAGCGAAGCATGCGCGATGCAGCTCAAAGCGTTATTTGTGTTGAAGTGTTTAGGTCTTTCTCCCTCTCTTTGAACACACATCTTTCTTCCCCATACACTTTTCCTTTTACCTGTTCCAATTCTTTGGAGAAACTCGTCAACGTCCTTTCGATTCCTCGGGAATTGAGCCCATTGCGAAACCACGAGAGACCAGAAGACATGGACGCTACATACATACATCAGATCGGATGCGCCGAGAAAATGATACGAAATATGGAATATGGGTGAAATACTCAGCACGCTGTCGCAAACTTTCGCAATCGCCCCAAACGTCTTCCCAGGATTGTCAATCGTTTACACAACTCGACTTGAGGAACCAAGAAATGGACCGTGGACGATACGCGCGCACACATCCGGACATATGAGGGGACCACGAAGGCTTCGAAACCAAACAAATTACATCGAACGTACTTTTGCAAATGTTTCTATCGCGGACGAATACTACATGGGGTGGACATATACGCATCGAGACCAACCATATCTAGCAGAAGACTATCGAGACAGATGAAGATGCCTCACAGCAAGATTCATCCTTGTTTTATTTACCTCACTCCCATTGCCAAGATACAATATGATGCCACCGTAGCGTTGGAGACAAGATATACACACAAGACATCTGAATATCCTTCGCGAATCACACATTCTGGTACTCTGGGCTAGTCGAATGAAATACAAACATACATATGGGGCACCTATAAAACATCCTTAGAAACACGACTGGGCATGGAAGCGCAAATTATGAACGCTTTAAATACAATGTTTCCTATCCGATCATCTCAACACACGATACTCAGTACCTCATTTACCAACTGGCACCATTCAGCACACGAGACTTCGACCCCGATAATTCATCAAAAATAAAGCAGAGGGTCGTAAAATCGTCTCATCGTAGCAGACATGGCGCATCTCATCAAGAAAAATACAAGGAAATTTGATGCATTTCTGTCCTGCTGTTCCGCTCACAGCATATCGAAAACCAGACGTCGAGGGGGTCCTCGCCGATCGAAGGGAAGAATATGAAAATAATTAGAATTGGTTGCTGTGAGCTGAGGAGATATAGTCGTGGTCTGCGAAGACCCTGTTCGAAGTTCGAAGTTCGATCCTTTATCATCCCATCTTTTCGCCATTTCAAGTCGTGGATCATCGTTAATACCCGGAAAATTCGTATCCATCATACTCCAAGTTTCGCAACAAGATTCTTCAGTCCACCCATCATCCATCGTCAGTCCACACCCTACTTATTCGCCCTCGCAACCAACCACTGCAAAACCGCATCCAAATTCGTCTCTTCCTTGGCACTGATCCCATAACAGCTCACCTCTCTATGCCCTACACTCTTCAAATCCAATCTCTCAATCAACTCATCCACACTTAACTTGTTTTCTAAATCAGACTTATTCCCCAACACCAACAGAGGGATTCCTTGCAAGACCGACTTTTCCAAAAGCAAATGAAGCTCATCTTTAGCGATTGGTAAGGCGTCAGGATCGGCAGAATCGACAATAAATACAATGGCATTTACGCCGCGACAATATCGCTCCCACATGGAACGAAAGCGGGGCTGTCCACCAAGATCCCAGCATTTGAGAGTGACGTGACCCTTTTGGACACGCTTCATGTTAAAGCCAACGGTAGGAATGGAGCTATGAGGGGAAGTAAGATGCGGTCAGCTTGGGATGGTTGCGCAACGTGGGGTTTACGAATCTGTGAACCCCGCTTCGATGAACATGAAGGCTACAGTTGGAAGGTATATATCTTTTGCTTTGGACGTGAAGGAAAGGAATGATCGTACTCAATTGTAAACTCTCCGCCCTACACGTCAACATCATCGTCAGCATTTGTGCCAAGGTAAAAGCTTCAATGTGAAAAAAAAGGTAAGTGGAAAGGAGAGCTTACCGCCAGTACTCTCAACAAAGAGGTCTTTCCAGCATTCTGCAAACCGATCATCGTGATATCCATTTCGGTAGCCCTAAATGGCAGATCTTGAGGTCAGTTGATGAGGAGCAGGAAAACATATATCGAAAATACCGTTTTTTGAGGGCCGCAGTGTGCACCAGATTGACGTCTTCAGGTAATGGGAGAGATAGCAAGAACGCACCAGAAAAGTCGCAGCAACCAATCGTACACTCGTCTGAATATGCTTGCCATGATCATTCAGTCACCCTCGCACAGCTTTGTAGACTATTATGGTTTCGATGGAAGCCCTGGAGCTCTTTTGCTGACCGTTACTTTGATTCGCGAGGCTGTACAGGTAGGGTAAAGTAGGTAGGTGAGGTTTCTGGATGAGAGGAAGATACAAGATTGCAGGGTTGAAGCCGGCAAAAATAAGTAGAGATGCAGTGTTGCAGCCGCAGACCGTTTTTCCGTAAGTAAGCCAAAGATCAGATAGCTACCCAATGTATCGTATCGTACACTCTTTTTGTGGTTTCAACAAATTTTCAAAGCGACCTGATGGTTTGTACAATATGAAGGGTGAATGAGTGAAGTTGAATGTAGCATGTATGGCGGATTAGATTCTTTTCGCAAGGGAATTATTTCAATGTGACGGTGAAGAGTAAAGGTAGAAGGTAGCTAGCACAATCGGTTGAAGCGCTTGTGATTCCCCCTCAAGGAAGAAAGATGCACGAACCACTTCGGTAATGATTGCAATATTTTAGTGATTGATTGTGCGGTTGCGGGCGGGTAGGCGATAAGTAAGTACGGATTACAGTAGTGGAGGTTGAAAGAATGATGAAGTTACGGGAATACAGGATTGATTGATTGACAGATGAAATTGTATGCAAATAAATAGAAAAGAAACACAACAGCCAGATGGAATGACAGGATTTTTGGGTATGTAGGACTGGGCTGCCGAATTGTTGTTGTGATGGATGCAATCAATTGGGTAGAAGTACGAATAGAAGTGATGTCGATTGACAAAATGTTGGATATCGGATGAAATTTGAGAAGGAGGCAGAAGGAGAAGAAGAAGAAGAAGAAGAAGACTTGGATACGCAAAAGATATACGAGACTAATAAGTAGAGCTACTGGTATATCGGTATGTCAGTGAACTGAAGGGGATAGAAGGGGATAAAACAATATCGCAATATCTCAACGAGGTTTGAGACAAATGAAATTCGAAAGACTGGTATGGTAGCAAAAGAAAAAGGCAGAGATTGTGTCTGTCAAATGAAGGAAGCAAAGTCTTCTGGAGTATTTTCTTTTCTTTTCTTTCCTCTCTTCTATAGTTGAGATGAAGATTTGATCGGTTTTCATTCCTCTCATTCCCCTCGTTCCTCTCTTGTTCGATCTAATGTAGAGATGGGTATATGCATCTCGAGCTACATCTCGAGCTACAGAAGTACATCCCGTACCGCAGTTAAGCATGCGACTTGAATTCGGGAACATTAGATGTTAGTAGGTACTGGTGTATTCATGCAGTAGTGCGACACTTGATGAAGCTGCTTTTGAAGTTGGAGAACGAATAAGATCTCCTTTTCATACTGTGCCCTGGCGTTGAAATTATAAACAGAGAGCCCAAGATGTTGCCCAGAGAAAGTCATAAGCTTGAGAGCCCGATATTGATGGATGAAAAGGACGACGGGTTTGTTTTTATGTTTTTATCTAAAAGAAAGCCTCGGCGTTAAGATATCATTTTGATAAGATAACCAAATCCTTCAGCTTATGTAATCTAAATATTTTTGAAACTTTTTTTCTGCCCGCAAGTTATTGATGCCGCCCCATCCCATCTAATATTATCAACAAATTCTTCGAGAAGCTATACTTTCCCATGAATTGAAGGTTCCAATTTGATCGTGAGTACTTCAATATAAGCTTTTTTGTTCTTTTAACCAAATCAGATTTGAACATACCCTAACTAATTAATTGCGCCCAGCTTCACCATGGCTCCCTCGAAGTCTACCTCCGCTCCTACGAATACTAAATGGACTCATGAGTTTGATACAATTCGAAGAGAGAAACTTTTTCGAGATCCCCCAAAAGATCACACAGCATATCCTGCACTTACAGCTGCAGTTGCACCTCATATTGAGTCATTCAATGCGCTGTTCGAGAAAGATGGGTTAATTGCTCAAGGTTTATTGGATATTGGTTCCAAAACATACCTCGATGGAGACGATAGATTAGGACCCTCGGGAAAGAATAGGTTGACGGTTAGAGTTAAGGAAGTCTTCGTTGAGAAGTCTATGTTGCCTGCATCGAACAAATTTTCCACCAAGAACAGAGAGATCTTACCGGCAGAGTGCAGAGAACGACATGTTACATACAGAGGAAAAATGTCGGCGCGCATGGAGTACTCGATTAACAATGGGGACCCAAAGGAGTTTATTAGAGATCTTGGACAATTGCCTTTGATGTTGATGGTATGGACTCTCGCCCATTTTCTGCTGATCAGACAGAGCTGACCTTATTTCTACAGTCAAACAAATGTCATCTTCAAAACAACTCACCAGCACAGCTTGTACAAAAGAAAGAAGAATCCGAGGAGCTTGGCGGATACTTTGTGGTGAACGGAATTGAGAAAATTATTCGTCTTCTTGTCGTAAATCGAAGGAATTTCCCAATGGCTATCATCAGACCTTCGTTTAAGGGGAGAGGTCCAACATACACCGAATTTGGTATGCTCATACGATGCGTACGACCCGATCAAACTTCTCAAACCAACGTTCTCCACTATCTAAATGATGGAAATGTCACTTTCCGTTTTTCATGGCGCAAGAACGAATTTCTTGTGCCTGCCATGATGATTTTGAAGGCATTGGTAGAGACAAACGATAAGGAAATTTTTGAAGGACTCGTCGGTGCTGCTGGATCAAAGGGAGCAGAGAACACGTTCTTGACTGATCGTGTGGAATTGTTACTACGAACTTATAAGGCTTACGGTTTATACACGAAGAGCAAGACTCGAGCATACTTGGGCGAGAAATTCAGAATCGTTCTTGGAGTTCCAGATACCATGTCGAATTACGATGTCGGAACAGAATTCCTACGAAAGATTGTCCTCGTTCATCTCGGAAATGTCAACGTCACGGAAGCGGAGGATAAGGATAAGTTTAAGATGCTTCTTTTCATGACGAGAAAGTTGTATTCTCTTGTTGCTGGAGATTGTGCTGGTGATAATCCTGATGCGGTTCAGAATCAGGAGATATTGCTTGGTGGATTCTTATTCGGAATGATTATCAAGGAGAGACTTGAGGACTGGCTTCACACTAGTTTGAGAATGGCATTAAGGGACTATGTTCGACGCAGCCCGGAGAACAACTTTGCGACACCTGAGTTTTTGAAAGACTTTCCGGTAAAGATTTGTTCGAGAACAAATGAACAGGTTGGTGGTGCTTTGGAGTACTTCATGTCAACTGGAAATCTTGTCAGTCCAACGGGTTTGGATCTTCAACAAACTTCTGGATTTACGGTAGTTGCTGAAAAGATTAATTTCTTGCGATTCATCGCCCATTTTCGCATGATTCATAGAGGTAGTTTCTTCGCCCAGTTGAAGACTACTACTGTTCGTAAGTTGTTGCCAGAGAGTTGGGGTTTCATGTGTCCCGTCCACACCCCCGATGGAAGTCCTTGTGGGCTGCTAAATCATCTTTCGCACAAATGCATAATTCTTACTCACGCCTCGGATGTATCGGCTCTACCCTCGCTCCTTTCTGAACTTGGTGTCGTCGGTACTGGCTCATCGTCTACTGATGAGAGTGTCATCGTTCAATTGGATGGCAAAATCATGGGCTGGTGTTCACCCAAGCAATCTCTCGTCATCGCCGACACTCTCCGCTACTGGAAAGTCGAAGGATCACGTGGTGTTCCAGTTAATTTGGAAATTGGATACATCCCAAATTCCCACGGTGGACAATATCCAGGAATCTATCTGTCTGCCTCACCAGCTAGAATGGTCAGACCAGTGAAATATCTTGCGCTCGATAAAGAAGATTTCGTTGGGCCACTTGAACAACCCTTCATGTCTATCGCTGTTACCGAGCAAGAGATTGAAGCGGAACACACTCACGTTGAGTTTGATCCTACCCATATTCTCTCCATTCTTGCCAACATGACTCCTTTCTCCGATTTCAACCAATCGCCCAGAAACATGTACCAATGTCAGATGGGTAAACAATCGATGGGTACACCCGGAACAGCTACCCGTTACAGAACCGATAACAAGGCGTATCGTCTCCAAACCGGACAAACTCCAATTGTCCGCGCACCACTCCACAACGAATATGGTTTTGATAATTTCCCCAACGGCATGAACTCTGTAGTTGCCGTCATCTCTTACACCGGATACGACATGGACGACGCTATGATAATCAACAAATCCGCGCACGAGCGCGGTTTCGGTCACGGCACAATCTACAAGACCAAAAAATACGAGTTGGAGGAAGGGCACAAGTCTCGATCTGCTAGAAATATCAAGAAGCTTTTTGGTTTTGCTCCTGGTGGACTTGTGAAAGCGGAATGGAAAGCCGACATTGATGAGGATGGTTTGCCGTTCATTGGACGGATGGTACAAAATGGTGATTTGATTGCTGCATGGCACACGGTTTCCATGGACGAGAATGGCAAATACGTCAATCGAGATGGCCAAACTCATTTCGAGAAATACAAGGAGACGGAAATCGCATTCATTGAAGAAGTAAGATTGATTGGAAATGAGAACGGAATAGAGCCTTGTCAAGCTGTTTCTGTCAAACTACGCATCCCACGTTCTCCAGTTATTGGAGATAAATTTTCGAGTCGTCACGGACAGAAGGGTGTCTGTTCGCAAAAGTGGCCAGCAGTCGACATGCCATTCACGGAATCTGGTATTCAACCAGATACCATCATTAATCCTCACGCTTTCCCTTCTCGTATGACTATTGGTATGTTTGTCGAGTCCTTAGCTGGAAAGGCCGGAGCATTACACGGTTTGGCGCAAGATAGTACACCGTTCAAATTCGACGAGGAACATAAAGCGGGTGACTATTTCGGACATCAATTGATGAAGGCTGGATACAATTACTATGGTAACGAACCCATGTATTCTGGTATCACTGGAGAGGAGTTACACGCAGATATCTACATCGGAGTTGTCTACTACCAGCGTCTTCGTCACATGGTAAACGATAAATACCAAGTCAGAACCACAGGTCCAGTCACACAACTTACCGGACAACCAATCAAGGGTAGAAAGAAGGGTGGTGGTATCCGTGTGGGAGAGATGGAACGTGATTCCTTGTTAGCTCACGGTACAGCTTTCTTATTACAAGACAGATTACTCAACTGCTCCGATTATACGAAATCCTGGATTTGCAAGGAATGTGGAACTTTCTTGTCGACTCAGCCCACAGTTTCGGCATTTGCAAATAAGAAGAGAGGGACGGGCGTGGTAAGATGTAGAAAATGCGCGACGAGAGCCGAAGAGAAGTTAGGTGGAGGCGAAGTCTGGGAGGATGGAAAGGGGCAGAGATGGGTGGGCGGTGAAGATACCACGGTGGTGGCGGTACCGGGTGTGTTGAAGTATTTGGATGTTGAGCTGGCGGCTATGGGTATCAAGTTGAAGTATAATGTTGGGCCTTGAGCTGAGTGAATTGCGGAGAGCAATCCGACGGAGGAGAAGAATTGGGAGAAGTAGAAGATGATTGAATGAATTGAATTTGGCTGGCGCATGGGAAAAGGAATAATTGTAGCATCTACAAGGAGTACTTCTTTAATTTTGTTGGGGCGATGAATGGTTGGGTCGTCAAAAGATAGAGAATATTTTAGCATGCATGAGATATTATGGATTTGAAATACTTTTTCGAGGGGTGAGATGTGATCTGGTGTTGGAGATATTATCGATAGTATCTTATATCGAGCCCAATTGGTTGAACACGAATAGCCTAGCATTCAGAAGAATCTTGGGCGCTGCTTGGTATTATCCGAGTTTACTGAATGATCATGAGAATATCTGCATCATGTTGAATTTAAGTTTGATTGAATCTTACTTCTCACCTAGACAAGATAGGATTGGATACCGTACAACCCCAAGGACGGGTCGATGAGTCGGTTACCAACCGAGTGGAAGGATACGTTACTGGGAGGAACAACAACAGTATCATATAACTTGGAAGGTATTGAGTGATTCCAAGATTCCAATTGCATCGGAAAGAGAGAGAAAAGGCCAAACGCAACTATGCGACCGGATAGGCATACGGAGTATAAAATTCTCTAGGAGAAGACTATTGATAGGGTGAATTCACGTGAGGTTCTTGACCGGGAATGAATATGAGATGTGGCACAGCTGGTGGGAGTAAGAGCCATCGTGTTCTTCAAATGAATTCTTACTCAAGGCAGGAGGAATAGGTTAGATGGGCCAAGAGAAACTATTTCTATTGTTCTAGGGCATAATTTGAGTGAATGAAGAAGTTATACTCGAAAGGGATAGGTACAAAGTCAGTTCTGATGAATAAAAGTAAGAGACTTCTCAAGGAGTACTACATTGCTTCATGAGGAGTAATTATATAATATAATTTCTGCGTTACACTACCTACTTAGTACTTACTTGTATACTAAACATAGGATGTATTATATTACTTTCGAGTACTTTCATATTGCTACAGTACTGAAATGAGCTGAACTTCGCCTCGAACAAAGGTCGAAGGATGATGATCTTTAAATCTTAAAGATGACCACAAACCATCCTTATGGGACGCTACATTGATCCTATCTGCAACATACCGACGAACGAAGCAACTAAATATGGCAAATCACATTTGAATTCAGTCTCTTGATATAATGTTTCTTTATGGGTTGTGAGCCCTAGGGCTCACAAACTAATATAATAAGGTTCTTATTTCCATCAGTAAAAGCAAGAAAAACGATATATAATATTTAATTATCATTATACATTATTTCTTTACTCATTTCTTAGTCCTCTATTTTTTTTTAACACCCATTCGTTTGCAGTCTTTAATTCAATTTTCTCATTCACTAAGTAGTGGTGGCGATTCAGTCTATCGTCGTCGTCGCATTCTCGTCCGTTCGTTATTTGCATTTACTCCCTGTTTTGTTTACCTTGTTTTGCTACGGTGACGAGGCGTATCATTCATCTAGTGAATCTAAAACTACGGCTTCTAAACGTCTACATGTTGTTTAGCTGTATCAAGTTCTCTTACTTGAAATACAATCCACTATCAATCGCATTCCAATTTACAAAATCTTTCACGCCTCATTCAAAAGAACTTAACCTGCAATTTACCCGCCACTGGCATATTCAAATTTCATATTCTCAACAAGATGGTATTCTTTCGAAGAGCCTCGATAGTCTTCGTTACTATTGCTGGTGTAGTTCTATCACGCACAGCACAAGCGATTCCCAAACCTCAGGATCAACGACCAAGAGGATATGATTATGGTGTTGACATAGGAGCACTTTTGAAGCGGGATGTTACCCACATATCCACGACTGGAGTACCATACACTGGTTCGAGTGCATCGATACCAGTCCGTCAAGAAATTCGAGATCTAGAGAAGGACGCGGATTTATGGGAGTTATACATCTTGGGAGTATCAATGATGCAAACGATCAATCAATCAGATATTCGCTCATGGTATCAAATCTCTGGTAAATATCAATACAATCCAGTAGGTAGCAAATCGCTAACATCCACAAGGAATTCATGGTAGACCCTACCTTCCATATGATGGAGTTCAAGCAACCCCGGGTGATGAGAATAATGGATACTGTACCCATGTCTCCATTCTATTTCCTACTTGGCATAGACCTTATTTGGCCCTTTATGAGGTAGTATCTCCCTTGCGTGATGATGAGAGGGATTGTATTGACTCTTTACAGCAAGTACTTCATAGTGTTATTTCATTCATTGCAGAACAATACCCTATTGGGGCTGAGCGAGAAAGGTACACCGCAGCCGCAGGTAATTTTCGTATACCTTATTGGGATTGGGCAGTTGTACCAGCCGCTGGTCAAAGTGTTCTGCCCGCAAGTGTTACAACACCAACTATTGCTGTATTGCTGTCAATGGCCCTGCCGGTGTTCAAACAATCTCCAATCCACTTTTCAGTTATCACTTCAATCCATTGAACCCCTCGGAGCTATCAGATGCACCTGTAAGTTCAACTCCTCTAACAAGATCTTCGTCACCGATTGACAATCAACAGTTCAGCCAGTATTCACAGACCTTGAGATATCCCACATCAGAGAGTGCATCTGCTACTTAACAAAACACTCTGGTTGCCAAACAACTCGATAACAGCGCAGCTTCCTTTCGAAACCGTCTCTACAACCTTTTCACTAACTACCACGACTATAGCACGTTCAGTAATAAAGCGTGGATCACCGCTGCCAGTCCAGGAGATTTCGATTCTATTGAATTTCTCCACGATCAAATTCATGGTTTGACAGGAAGTGGTGGTCACATGTCTTATGTCGATTACTCCGCCTTTGATCCGCTTTTCTTTCTACATCATAGCATGATCGATCGTTGTTTCGCTATTTGGCAAACCTTGAACCCAGAGAGCTATGCGACAGCTAAAGAAGCTTCATATAGCACGTTCACTATGACGGCAGGAAGCATCCAAGATGTTTCTACACCACTTAAACCATTTTATGATGCTGGGGGAAGTAATTTCTATAGTTCGTCTGAAGTTGTATCGACTGAAACTTTCGGTTACGCATATCCGGAAATATTAAAAGGAGGTAACACAACTACTCAAGCTATCAAGGCCATAAATCGTCTCTACGGAATCACCGCGCCAGCAAAGACTGTTTCCCGACGTACGAATCCAGAATTGTCTTCAAGGATAGTAGGACGGAAACTGCAAATTAATAGCTCATCTAACCTCCCTGTCCTCGCTAAAAACGGTCAATACACCGAATGAATCGCCAACATACAGACCAAGAAATACGCCCTCGCTAAGTCATTCTTTGTTCACGTCTTTCTCGGACCTTTCAAAGATGACCCGTCAATTTGGACCTTCGAGCCCAATCTTATCGGCACTCATTGTGTTTTTGCTAAACTTTCGACCTTTGGCTCTGCTGCAGCTGATCCGAATCAATTGGTCACAGGAACAATTCCACTTACCAGCGCTTTACTCGACGATATTTCACAAGGTCTTTTGAGTTCGCTGAATCATGAAGATGTGGAGCCATATCTGAAGAAGAATCTCAAATATCGCATTACACTCCTCGACGACACGGAAATCGAAAATTCGGCTGTTCCAAGCTTAATCATTACCGTGGTCAGCGCAGTTGTTCAAAAAAGCACTGTGGATCATGAGTTGCCAAAATGGGGTCCAATGATCAGTCATATGGAGTTGTCCACGGGAGCAAGTAACTCGACGAAGATCTAAGGCATAGGCATAGGAAATGAATATGGAAATTAAGGGTGAGTTTTCTCCGACGACCTCAAGTTCATTTGCATGATGTGATAGGGAGTTATGTCTTTTTGATTGCTTTTCTTTGGGGAATGGATTCTTGTCGGGGGTCAATTGACACCATTTATGCAAGCAGCATTCTCAGATTACAAACAACCAATATAAAAGGTCTTGTCATCTTTCTCCAATTGATTATCCAAAGGTTCTCCTCACTTTCCTGAAACTCAATGCCATAAGTAAACACCCCATAAATGCTAACCAAAACATCAAAACCCCCAACCATCCTACTATCATAGAGTTTATCCAACCTTTGCCTTAAGTCCTCCGTAGGCGAATGCGAGAGAAAGGTATCTGTTGGAAATTTGTTGTAAATTAAGCAATTTCATCGATACGAGCTTGTGGGAACTATTGAAAGTGTAACGTACAGTAATCCATCAAAGACAATCTTCTTTTGATTGGTATCTGCAATCCATATGATATTCCATGGATCTGAGCTTTTACCTCCACCTGCCCCAACTATATTCGCCAATCCCTCCGCACTTCTTGAACAATCCCAGCTCGCTCCCCCTAAGTCAAGACACATCCCTCTAAACCCAGTGCGTACACTAACATTGGACCCATTGTTTGCAAGCTCGTTGATAATGGTAGTGATATTCCGGTTCACGTCTTCAGCAATTCTTATTTCTTGAGAGACATCGTGAGAATAAGAAAGTGAGAGAAGATAGATATCTCTGGTCTGTTGGGAGACACATCCCGCATGATTAAACTTTGCCCCAGACTGAGATGAATCGGGAAATGAAGAGGAAAATGGCTTTTACCCAAACAAACATGTGATGCCGGCGCATGTGAGGAAGATGAGAATGTGATGAAAGCCAATGCCCCAGTTCCAAAAGGAGATGAATATTGAAAGTTTGCGTGGAATCATTATTATTATACCCAACGGAAGAAGGATGAGAGACTTGTTTAGTATATCATGGTCATTGCAAGACATGAATAAAGATTTGCTTCAGCTGAAGAGGACATTGATATTCGCTATTAGCCAACCGACCGCTGAGAAATATGCTCAGCCACCAAAATGCCACACTGGTACCTAGGTAGGTAACTTCAAGGAAGGAAGCTGCGATGAACTGTATACACAAAATGATTCATCCAAGCCGTGTCTGATCAACGTTGTCGTCGTTATCGATCAAGATTCAACACATATTCAACGAGATGCCTCATATGAAATGGTCAGATCAAAACTACTACCCATCAACTATTCGGAGTGACCCCTAACTAACATTGAAATACAGGCCACCTCAGATACAGGAGATTCAGGTCTTCGGTGAGGTTAAAGACGGTACGTCGAAATCTCTGAGGTCTCAATTTCATATTCAAACTCTCGTCATTCAGTTTCCGGTCTTCGCTATCCTCGTGACATCGGACGACCTGTTTATCTTGGCGGCGAAACATACTACCTCTTCGGTGATACATTCTGTCACGATTCATCTAACAATTTTGTCGGAGTCTCCAACAATACCGTTGCCTATGTACCAGATCCCAAGAATCATCCATTGATATGTAAATATATGCATGATGATGCACATCAACCATCATTCATTCCTCATACACCCAGTGAAGAAGAATATGAGAAGGATCCAAAGAACAAGGAGAAGATTAACAGAGTTGTGAATTGGGCCTTTGGAGGAATTATTGAAGATACTCCAGGGTCGAGGGATGGATGGATATTCTACGAGAAGATGTTGACAGTGAGTTTCGTAATTTCTGTGAATCAATGAACTTGAAGGGGCGTTGTCACGGCAGAGAACAGTTTACTGAGAAGGTGTAAAAGCATGGGTCCACAACTGGCAAGAGATTTGGTCAAGGTGTTGCACGTGTCCAAGTTCAACACGACAAGTCTCTGAAAGTGAATCGATTGATGGTTAGTTATGCATTTCTCTGATCCTTACTCTCCCAAGAGATACCAGCCAATTTGTTAGAGACCTCAAGATGAGCGGTTTGGTTTCTGTCTCTTGATCTTCATTCTTCTGGTTATGTTTTAGGATAAGTAGCTCACCATCATAGGGTGATATCATGTTGTTCGGAGAAAACGAACCGCACTTCGGCATAACAACACATTTAGTAGGAGAGGACGGCTACATTTATCTTCTAGGAGCAAAAGATGCACCTTCCCCAACCCTTGATCTCAAGAACCACTGGGCACGAATTCGATCAGGCTCCGATTTCACCTTGCGAGAAAATTACGAATTTCTCATTCATAATTTGGATGGCAAGAGCCAAGTATGGAATCGCTCTTATTCATTTCATCAACTAGTCAATGTCATTCCAGTCCAGGCCCAAGGTGCCATCATCAAAGTTCCTGAGCTGGGACCAAAAGGCCGACCATATCTTTGGTTTGGTAACAATAAGTTTCCAGCTAATAAGATCTATATTGCATGTGCTTCACAACTAGGAGGACCATGGGAAGAATGGGAGGGGCCTGAGATTCCAACATTCGGAGGTGGTGGATTAAGATATACTTTGTATCCACACGAGAGAAATTGCCAACCAGGAAAGGGGGAGATGAGAATTAGTTGGAGTGACGATAAAGAAATGGGCGGGATGGTTATACAAGCTATGTTGCGATTTTCTATGGAAGGAGAGGAGGATACGGGTATTGATATACCACAGTCTAATAGTAGTGGCTGGAAGGATAAGGCGAAGGGTCTCTGGAATTCACTTATATAGAGGGACTTGTGACTTGGTTATCAATCAATTTGCAAAGCACTCGATTAACGTCCAAGAAATATTCTGGAGTTATTCTCGTTGACTAGTGATTTATTTGTTTATAATTAAGATACTTTAATATGTAATACTTTAGATCTCGAATTATTCTCGTTGGAATATCACTAAGATCATAATAGGTATAACAGTAGTAATATTGTATGTGTATATCCTTAGAGGTATTCTAGTGGTATTGGATA